TCCAGAGACACCGGGAGGGGCACAGCCGGATAGGACAACTGGTCCAAAAACGGCCACAGGGGCTGTTGCCAATTAACTGTTAAAAATGAGGGCTTGGAAGATGGCTCAGACGATAAAGCGCTTGCTTTGCGAATGTGAAGACCTGTGTTCGATCCCCATAATTCACATCAAAAAATAGCTGGGTGTGGTGGGTGCACAGTTATCAACCCAGTGCTGTGGAGGTGGAGACAGGCAGTCTTGGGACTGGCTGGTCCGATAGTTCGGCCTAACTGGTGAGTTCTAGGCCAGTGAGATATCCTGGCTCAAAAGACCGAAGAGGACAGTGCCTAAGGAATGAAACTTGAAGTTGTCCTCTGCCCTACACACGTGCATGCACACCTGCACACACGTGAGCCCACATGCCCACCGACACACGTACATATACACATACAATGTTGTCAAAACTCAGGCTGGTCAGGGACACTGGCTGTGCCTCCATGGGGAAGCACAGGGTTGTCGCTGGGATTGTTGTTCTGGTCTTTCGGACTTTCTCAGCTGATTTGAGGACTGTTCTGCCTCCACCTTCCCAGAAGGGTATGACACAGGTCAAGTATGCAGAGGGAGAGACTACCCTGACTGGTGGATTGCTGGCTGGCCACATGACTAGGGGTGTCCACTGGGCATAACTGTCACCTGTAGCTCCTCCCAGTCACCCCTGCCAGTGATCGTGGGACACTTTGGTCCCATCAACTGTGGCTGATGGGATCCCTCCTTCCAAGACCAGACTCTTACTCACAATCCATTGGGTGGTCTCACCAAACCCTCCTTCTCCTGAGCCTCAGTTCCCCCATGTAGAGAACAAGAAGAGCTCCAGGATTACAGAAGCCTCTCAGAGCCCTCGATCCTAGAGATTCCCACAGAAGAAAGTGGTAGCCATTAGTGGGGTTTTCACTTTCCTCTTCAAACAATGTCGGAAACTATGACCTTGTTTGGTGGGGGCTATTTTTTTTAATATTCTCAGATGACAGACAGATATGTTTCCTCTGAAGACTGGTGATTCTGTTTTGAATAGGGCAAGTTACGAGTAGATTAAGAAAAAAATATATTCTTTTGAACTAACTGATAAGACTTTTCTGTTTTTGAAAGGTTATTTTCACAGCAGTGTTTTTTTTCTAAAGTTGACTGGTAAAAGGGACACAGTGTTTTAAGTATTAACAAATCTCTTGGAATGGACGGTGTAGGGACTGTTGTCCAGTGTAGGAAGTTGTCCGCAGGCAGACCTGGCTGCCTCTCTTGTTGCTGCCCATCGTAACACATACTGGGGAAGCGCAGCTGTGACCTTGGGCGGGCCTTCCCTTATGTTGCCCTGGGCAACCTCACTTTTATTCCCCTAAAGTCTCTGTGCATGGCATAGATCTCACCTGGCAGCCTGGGTTGGTGGGACACCTGATAAATGGGCAAAGATAACCCACCAAGCGCATAAGGGAGCGAGCAGTCCGCTTCCCTCCGCTCTCTGCTGCCCCCTAGTGTCATAGTTCTTATAAGATACTGTCACTGAATTCCATACCACATCTCTCACATCTTTTTTTTTCTTTTCTTTTCTTTTCCTCATTTTCTTTTGGTCTTATGTTATAGTTTTTGTTCCTTTTTTTGTTTTTCTCACTAGCATTCATTCTGTGGCCTTGATGACTCCCATACGCCGAGAACTCGGGTGTGTATCCTTTGCTTTCCATTGGCTGATGCAAAGCTGATTGAGAGGGGAGGCTGACTCCTCCCTGGCTGTGCTGTGTCCTCTGGGAGATGAGGTGCCTGGAAGGCAACCTTTGTTCTGGAGTCTTCCACTTAGGCTCCTTGGGGGCTGTGTGGTCCTGGGTCCCTGGGGGTCTTGCTGTAGAGACACATGGTGGGGCTTATTAAGACAGACAGGCCCCATGGCATTCATCCACAGAGGAGTATATGACCAATTCCCAAAGCTTTCTCCAGCCTGGCTTAGTTCCTGCTCTGTTGCCATGTGTACGTCTCCTGTACGATCCAAAGCAAGTGGCCTTCCAGAGTCAAGGACTAGTAGGTTGACAAGCCAGTGGCTCATGAAGCCAGATTCTGATGTGACTGCACAGTGTCCAGGAGCCAGTAGTGCCCTGCTCCTCACCTCTGTATCTCAAGCTCAATGCCCAGTTATGATGTCCGACTATATTCAGAGACCCAAAGAATGAAGGCATCCTAGAATCTGGTCCTGCCCTGGCTTTTGGGCCTTGTTCCCAAGCACCTAGCTCTCAGCCTGAATTCCTACCTTGGGACCTCAGTTTCTCCACATTCTCCAAGTGCTGAGTGCTCATTCTTGGGCTGGTATCTGCCAGAACCTCTGAATTTTGGAGTCTTGACCTTGAAACCAACCTAGGCTGAAGGTCCTTGAACTCCAGGGTGCCTCTGAGGCCCACTAGATCCCTAGATGGTCCACCAAATATCCTTAGGGATGTCCCTGACTCTGACACTAGCCCACAAGGGATTAGGTTAGGTATCTTCTATCCCCCAGTGCCTGGGACATGGCCAGGCACAAAGTAGCTGGTCATTGTATGTAGAAAGAATAAAGGGATGGCCTGAGGTATGGGAGACAGCTCACATCATGTCCCAGTGATAGAACCCTGGGGCTGGAGCTATCCAAACCCTGCTCCTTCTGTCTGGGTTGTGGAGGAGGTCCTCTGGGCAGCTATCAAGAGGTCAGGATGGCAGGGGCTTGAAGATATGCTGGGGCCCTTTCCATTCTTCTTAACCTTGGATTTTTGTTTCACTTCAAACTATTTCTGGATCTTGCAGGCTAAAGAGAGAGCTTTCGGAATCACCTGAGTCCCCGTGGTGCCCCATCCTCACTCAAACCAAAATCCAACAGTGCAACAAGCTATTCAAAGTCCGGAGCCTGAACACAGAACTTATGCACATTTGACAGTCACTTAAAGGGGAGGCCTGGGGACCTGGCCAGCCTCTGCTGTGGAACTCTGCGGGACAATGGGCGCCTCCCCAGTGTCGCCACTGTGGCATCTCCAAGAGCCAAGGACAAAGATGGATCTGGATGGCAGGAATCTAAGTGCAATTAGCGGAAACCCAGGGCATGAGAGCTGCTGCCTCGGGGGATAGGTGCAAGGCCTGCCCCCCTGCTGTGTGCCTCCCTGAAGGCACTCTGTGTGCCTAGATGGATACAGACACCCCCTCTGCCCTCTGTACATAAATCTCCATGGACTGACTGAGTGTGTCCTTCTGGAGTCTGTCTGCCAGAGCAACCAACACAATCTTTGGCTCCAGGCACAGCTGGACTTGCAGCTGGGGGCCAGCAAGAGAGAGTTGATGTGGGAGCCATGTGGATTGTAGATTTTTGAGGAAAACTGAAGGCTCCAACACTCTTATAGGTGTGACAGCCTAAGTCCCAGAGCATGGGCATGCCTCAGACCAGGGGGGAGTGAAGACTGAGAGAGCAAGCCCAAACTGCCTGTTATAATTTTTAGGGGCATCCTAAAAAAGAGCTCAGGCTGTTAGAGCAGTACCCGGAGCCTCTGAGTTCAGAGGTCTGAGGCCAGGGGTACCCTTCTACCCTAGAGAAAACTACCATAGAGCCTTCACTGCCCACGATCCTTGGGAGAGAATAGAGTCATCTCCTCAGGTGTTGGAGACTCCCCAGAGCACAGAGGGTAGGATGGGGGTGGCGCACCCTAGGTTCACTGGAAACTAGGTTCTGGAAGTCCACTTGCAGGGGAAATTCCCTGAGAAGTAACTTTGAGATGCTCCTGTCAACCTAGGGCAGGTGAGGTGGGTCACCTCCAAAAGGTATCTGCCTGTGTATGTGGCTGTCCTCTCCCAAACTCGGGGCAGGGAGAACGTTCGCCATCAGATTGACAGAGTGAAAGAGGACATGATGGTGAGTCTGTGTGGAGGAGCTTGTGGTGAGTGGAGTTGTAACCTGGTGGTAGCAGGCCAGATGCGGCCTCTTGCTGTGTAGTTGTTGGACCAAATAGGCGGCACCATGATTTCCTGGAAGCAGACAGAATGACTGGAGTTCAGGTCAGGTCCATGGAGGGAACCGTGGAGCAGAGACCTGACATGGTAGGGAAGCCATATCTAAAGACAGGAGTGAGGGCAGTGCTCCGTGTCGAAGCGGGCTGTCCAGTTAGGAGGCCGTCCCAGCAGACGTGAAGTCTCAAGCTTGAAGCAAACCCACCAGGATGGCTCAGAAGTGCTGATTCTCTGCTGAAATCCGAGTCCCCAAACACCTATGACCCACAAGCCCAGCCTCTGGGACTTACCAATACTCAGTGGCTTAATTAAATTCCAAGGAACCTGTCTTTGACAACAGAGACATCTGAGTCATTGAGTGGCAGGAATATGGGCACCAGTCAGGAAAATGGAAGGCATGCCTGCTTTCCCTGGTAGGAGATACAGGGGGCCACTATTCAAGTGACTTCTGTAGTCAGGTATCCTGGGGCATCCCAGAGAATCATGGAGAGGTTGGCCACTCTGTCCCTGCAACCATATGTCTAGAATCCTTGTAGACTGTTCTGGAGTGTGGTCCTTATACCTCTGTCCATGCCCACTGTGAGGGAGAGGGCAGCCTCCCTGACTGCTTGGCTTTTTGCTCAATACCTTATGTGATGGTGGCCTTAACTCTGCAGTCAGACCCATCTGGGCACTCCCAGCTCAGCCATGTCCCTGCTGCGGACAAACCGTGTGTGTTCTTGTGACTCCGAGGAACACAACTTACAGATCCCAGGCCATGCCTCATGGAAGAGCTTCTGTGATCACAACTGGACAGATGGACCTGCATCATTCCACAGGACCTCTGACACCCCAACAGCAGCTGGCTGGAGCAAGCATCTGAGTCCCTCATGGGGTGGTCTTCCCAGGAGTTATCTCCCCACTGTCCAGCCTGGGCCAGTGTCCACTCCTTCTCAGGAATCTGTTCATGCCTGAGAGAATGCCGCTCACACAGGCATGTGTGCAAGCTGCCCCAGTTTCTACTAGGTCCCAGAATTCCTGGTCACTATCTTAGGCATTGCTACCTAAGTCCCCATTAGGAACAAGCCTGGCTATGAGCCACGGTGCTCAGAGAACCACAGAGCTGCATGGCATCACAGGTGCGCATCTCCTCTTTCCAGCCCTGGGTCCAGCAAGGCACAGTCTCAGGGATTAACACTTGTGTGGTTTCCAGGGGAGCAGAACTACAGAGTCAATCTCCAAGGCCACTGCTGCATTCTTCTGTAGCTAGGAAGGCAGGTGGGATTTTCCATGACCCTCTTCCCAGGCTCACTAGGAGGATGAGGTCCCTAGCCCACCCTGCAAAGTCTTTTAATACAAGGTGCCACTTCGGTACCCGAGTCTCTAAGCCAGTGACATGCAATCTCGAGGAGGAAGAGAAGCTGAGGATTCCGGGCCGTTCTGTCACTCTTGCAGCCTATGGGGGCTAAGAAGAGAGGCCCAGGCTGGGGCCAGGTGGTCAGCTGAGCTGAGAACTGGGGGCCTGCAGCTTTAAAAGGGAGGGTACCCCTAAGGCTGTAAGACCTGTGTCCTACCAGGTCCTCTTCACTTTGCATCTCTAGCTGGTCACAGAGAAGTTTGCACTCAAGTGCCCCTGCTGAGCACAGTGTAGAGCTCCACTCCTACCCATGTACCCATGTACAGAGACGGAGCCTGTGTCCTAGCTCAGCTCTCCATGGAGTCCACCCAGCCTGAGGCCCTCCGAGTGACTTCCTACCCTGGCTGGGCAGGGACTATGATGCTCTGGCATAATTGAGGGCCCTAGACCAGGGCCTTGTTCCCTGGAGAGTTGTAGCCTGCTTCCCCTTGTCTTTCTTTCCAAAGGTCAGGGTTATATGGCCCCCATTTCCCTTGGGTTCCCTAGCCGGGTTGCCACCAAGAGATACTCCCCAGCACTCCCAGTACCATAGGAATGGATTTTTTTTTTCTCATATTGAATCTCGGCTTGTTAAGGAACTTCCTTCATGGAGCAGAAAACCCCAAACCAAGCACTTTGGTGTCTTCTTTCTCTATCAAATTGTCAAAGAACTCTTAGAGGTTTCTGCAGACCCCAGCCCATGTGTGCAGAGCCCTACTCTGATGGAAGAAGGGGAGTCTCCGGGGCTGAACCTGTGTCCCCTCCCCCCATAACCCTTCACCTCAGGGCTGAGGTTTCAAGATGGGTGTTGCAGTCATGTGTCCTTTCTGTGGCCATCTCTCAGTCATGTCTCCTAAGGCACTGGGGCCCCTGTCCTTACAGACACTCTCTTGAGGCCTGTTCCTCAAGGGAAATGGGGCCAGAGGCCCACCCCTCTACCCAGCTCCACCTCTTCTCCCCCTAAGTCTTAGTGATTCACCAAGAAGAACTAGCAGTCATGGGGCCGTTGTGGGCAAGAAGGGCTCTTTTTCAGGAACCCATTTCTTGGTCTTTGCTGCCTTCAATGAACAGCCATTTTCCCACTGCAGGTGGCATCTTGTGGCCAATGTTTCTGGGGGCTCACATGACCGGCACTTGGGGAGTCCTCCCCATGGTGAGGGAGAGGACTGTTTACTGTGTGTGGTGTCATTTTGCAAGGTGCTGGCCACTTGCCCAGTAGCCCGCAGCAGCTAAGCAACAAGGCTGGTCACAGCCCAGACAGCTGAGAGCGAGACCCAGGAAGCATTACTATGCCTCGCACATTCAGCCAGTATTTAGCTTTGAGGATGCACTGGGCTCTCTGATCAGGCTGTGAGAATCCATTCACGTACTCTGTCACTGGATGCGGATGCCTGTACTTACACGGTGCCTGGAGATCCTTTTATGAGATGCTCGGTACCTTGTCCAGATCCATACCTGAGACAGGATTCAAACCTAAAGAGTCAGGCCCAACACCCGGGATTCAAGTTGATCTTCCTGTCCCTTAAGGCCAGTGTTTCACATTGCTGATTCTGCCTACCTGCCCAACTCTTCTGCAGCTCTTTACCTGTAGCTCCTGTCCCTGCATTCCCCCAGACATCACTCTTGGGAACTCAGAAGACCTCTCAGCAAAGGTAGAAAAGAGAGCCACTGGCTTCATTGTTGGAAAGCATGAAGCCGGTGTAAGTGTGTCCTAAACAGCCTAGAGGGGCGCAGGCAGGATGCTCAGGGCGGGGTACGTGTGCTTTCCAGCCAAACCCCATTGCATCTCAAGACCACAGCTGCTCCTACCAAGAATGGCTCACCTCAAGTGTACTCATTAGCTGGGTAACCTCCTGGCTTCATTAAGTGGATCTACACAAAGGGTTAAAATAAATGTCCATCTTTATGGCAAGAGGCAGTTGTCTGAGAAAGACCAGGAAATGGCGAGGGATTGAATGTCCGGCAATGTGCAGAGGTGGGGGAGGGGAAATGAGGTTTCCTTCAGGTCCCACGGGGCTCTCCTTCAGAGATGAACACGTCTGTGTGCTCTGAGGAAAACGCACTAAGAAACGGGAATGGAAACGTCTCTTATCATTTTCTGGGGAAGCAAAGCCTCTTATGGTCAACCTTCTGTCCTTTTACCTCTCTGCCTAGTCCTGGCCGCTGGTGTGGTTGGTGGCCTCAGCTCCTTCCCTCTGTAAACCCTTTGATGTCCCCTTGGAGCAGCCGCCTCCTTGACTCTTAAAGGCTGTGACTGCCCTGTGCTCACAGCGAGATGCCCAAGAACCCTGAGCGCCTGTGTGAGCATGCCCCTTCTGTGGGCCGTGTGGCCAGCCACTCCTGTCCTGTTGGCTGTGACCCGGGGTGTACCTCCATCCCAGGGATCTCTGCCTAGGCCTGCCTGATGCTCCCTGCCATTCCTGCTTTCCTCACCCTCTGGATCCCGTCCCCAACCCCGAGCTCTCAGGGACTTGTCTGCTGCCCAGAGGCCAGTTTCATTCCACACTTGATCTCATGGCTCCCGGGCTCAGCACACGCACTCTCAGGTGTGGAGTCAGACCTGGCTGTTCCTTCCCATCTGTAGGGCTTGGACAAGCTCTTCCACCTTCTGAGGTCTCCATTTTACCATCTCTAAAATGGACTGTGGGTCCTTGGTAAGTATGTAGTATACTCAGACAGCCCCACAGAACCTCGTTCACTACGGTTGGGATGAGCTTTGCTTGCTTTGAAGAACCTGTGAGGGGTACTCCCTAGAAAGTTACCTTTTCCTCTTTGCGTGCATTGCTAAGCACTGAATTCCATCTGACTGGTCTGAGCCTCGTTCTAGCCTTGGTGTGTTCTAGCACGCCAACTTGTAAAATGAGCTGCTTGTCCGTATCGCATGACGTTTGTGTGGATGAAACCCAAGCTACTCACTCATGAATAATCCACCTGTCCTTGTTCTCCTCAAGGGACATTTTCCCGGACACTCCAAAGGCATGGTAGTCACCTCAAAAATTTCCAGAAAATCCATGCTGCAGACTCATTCTATTTTCCTTAAGTCTGGGCCGATGAAATGTTTCCGGGATGGAGCCGACGGCCCAGGAGCAGACCGAGAAGCGCTTCAGCTACGTCATCAGAGCTCCCAGCGGCGATGGCTTTGATGTGATGAACGTGGATGTGAAGATTGACACGTGCTGGGTGTTCCGAGATGTGGAGGAGGGTGATGACAACGAGCAGGGAAGCCTTCCGGAAGCAGCCAGCAGGCCAGACTTGGACACGGGGCTTCTCAGGGAGCAGCTGGGATCCTCGGAGCGGAAGCTGTTGGCAGCTGGGGACAAACATGGGATGTCCGAGTCAGGGCTAAGGAGCAGGTGGGTGTAACCTTGTGAGCACTCTTTGTTGTGTGTGTGTGTGTGTGTGTGTGTGTGTGTGTGTGTGTGTGTGTGTGTAGGGGGAGTGGATGAATTCCTTTGACATCATGGTCCTTTGACTCCTGTCTCCAGCTAAGGTCCTAGGCTCGCCAGAGGTACAGAACCAGCCTTGGGCGGTTATTTGCCCTCTCTTCTCCTATCCGTCATGGTCCTGTTCTGCCCCCGATCCCCATCCACTGGGTCCAGTCAATGGGACGCACTGGCAGTCAGTGAGGAAGGGAGAAGCCAGACACCTTCCATTACCTCCATTCTGTTGTGGCTGGGCCCAGGTGATGTGTGCCTCTCTTCTTTGTTGGCCCAACTCCTGCTGTATGGCTTGGTCCAAACCCTGGTCACATGTTCCCCCTGGGTAGTCCCCTAGCTCCGGGACCAGAAGTGGCTCCAGAGTTGGTGGACCAGCTGTCTGTCATCTCTGTCTGGCCTCCCAGCTCTTCTATCATCTTGGTACAGGGTACCAAGCAGCTGTTTCTCTCTGCTGAGCCTCTGGAGTGAGCCCTGGTGGAGTCAACACAGACCCTGAATGGCCATCGGAACCTAGGTCCTTTTTTCAGACCACATCCTCTGGCTTTTTCCTAATGGTATCTCCCCTCCCTTTTCTCTACCCCTCCCTCGTTTTCCTCTCTTCCACTCCCCTCTCCTTCTCTTCCTGTCTTCCCTTTCTTTAGTGGTGCTGGGGTTGGACACAGGGGCTGCTAGGGCCTTGCATGTCCTGGAGCAGCACTGTTAGCTGCCCAGTCACACCCCAGCCCTCCCAAGGACTTTCTTCTCCTTCCTTCCTTCTTTTCTCTCTCTCTCCATCCCTCCCTCCCTTCCTTCTTCCCTTCCTCTCAAGAGGAGGGACTAACTTTGGCCCACTGTCTTAGAGGTTTCCATGGTCAGCTCGTTTTATTGCTTTAGGCCCGTGACAAGGTGGGAGCATCATGAAGGATGGGTGTGGTGAAGGAATGCCGTTCTTCTCATGGTAGCCGGGGGGGGGGGGGGGGGGGGGGTTGTCCCTCAGAGTTTCTTGAGACGTTATGTGTTAATCATTTTTCCTGTCACTGTGACCAATTGCTCAGTTAATGAAAGGAACACAAGTTCATTTTGGCTCACAGTGCGTTTCAGTCTGTGTTGCGGATCTAGTCATCGATTAGGACTTATGGTGAGTCAGGCCACTTTGGTGGAGGCACCTCTGAAGCTGGAGCCCAGGGTGAGGCCATATCCACTGTTCTCTTTGAAGATGTGGTGTGCATCTTGCAGGAGAGGGCCAGGGGATAGGGAGATAGGATCCACGGCAAGACTGAAGGGGAAAAGGGACTACTCTGGCCGCACTTGGAGTCCCTTGAGCCCTGTGATGTATTGAGTGTTATTACCTCCTTTTCTGGATGGGGGAACCGAGGCTGAAAGCATAAACTATAGGGTCAGGGCTACGAAGAGCAGAAGTAGGGTCTGAACGGCCCACTGAGGATGCAGATGCCCGGCTGACTTCCTGGTAGGTCTGTCTCACTAGAAAACAATGAGTGACTGGGAGTGCACACTGGACCTGCTGCAGCCACAGAGTTCACACGCAGGGCTGACGAGATGGCTCAGTGGTTAAGGTGTTTGCCGTCAAGCCTGATGACATGAGTTCAATTCCTAGAACCCCAGGGCTGAAGGACAGAACCACCGCCCACAAAACTGTCAGCTGACCTCTACACATGTGCTGCCCCACCCCAACAAAATAAATATATAGAAAACAAGGTGAATGATGCCTGAGGAACGACACTTGAGGTTGTCACCTTATCTCCACAAAATTAAAAAAATAAAATAAAATAAAAAATTTAATTTAAACAGTGATAGCATCCCAGCACTTAGGAGCCCAAGGCAAGATGATCATTGTGAGTCACAGGCCAGCCTGGGCTACAGAGTCAGATCTTGTCTCAAAAAATGAAGTTAGTTAATCAATGAAAAGAAATGGATAAAATATAAAAATAACATAGCCGTATTTGTTAGAAAATTGAAGGGGAAAAAAAACCCAGCCCATTCCTATCTCACCGGACTGTAAGTTTTGCAATCACTTCTGACCCAAATGCAGCAAGGTCACACTGAGGGCTTGTCACACTCTTGCCTGAGTCAGCCCTACCTGCCCAGCAGGTGTTCAAGGTTAACCTTAAGACTGGAAAACAGGATGAGAGTATGCTCTCTTACGAAGGAGACACCAAGACCTGGGATGTTGTGTGACTGTGCCTGTCCATCCCTAAGGGCACTAGGACTTGATTCCAGGTGCCCGGAAGTCTAGTCTGTGGCCACTGTGGGCCCGTGTGTTCATGGCAGAGCCCCTGGACTCACAGTCTCCTCTGTGGCACTGTCTTCGCAAGCCTCACGTTTGATTAGTTTAGTCAGAGAAAAACACTCCTTGCCCATTTCATGGTCCTGAGTGTATGGGTTTGCAGTGGCTGCGGTGACAAGTGGCACACACTAGGTAGCTTTTCTTGGGACATAGGGGTGGTGGGATTGGAGACAGGATTTCCCACAGCCCACGCTGGCCTCAGACTTGATATGCAGCCATGGATGGCCTTGAACTCTTAATCCTCTGGCCTCTCCCTCCTGAGTGCTGAGATTATGGGCATACAGCCGTGAAACTTGGCGACTTGAGAACAGCCTACAGAGATGGGACTAAAGAGATGGCTCAGACTGTAAAGGTCCTGCTGCACAAACATTAGGACCTGAGTTTGGGTCCCCCACACCCAAGTAAAAGCCAGGGTGAGTCAGGCAGAGATGAGGGAGCAGTAGAGCCCGCTGGCCAGCCTACAGCAAGTGAGTTCCAAGCTCAGTAAGAGGTCCTGTCTCAAAACAAATAAAAAGTGGAGCGTGGTTGAGGAAGACATGCCACGTCCGCCTTTGGCCTCCACACACGTGTACATTTGCATTCACACAGTGTTTCTAAAACAAAACAAAGAACAGGAATCCTGGCTCAGTTGATTAACAGCTCTGGAAGCTGGAAGTTAGGATTCAGGCTTAGCTCAGGTTGTCAGTAGGGTCTCACCCATTCCAGACACCCTTGGGACTCACTCCTAGGTGTCTGACCCTCAGCTGAGCACCCCTGAGCACCCCTCCTTGGCTCCCAGCCCGTCTCCAAGATGCAGCAAGCGTGGTGCCTCAGTGGCTCTGCAGCTCTCTTCCCTACAGTCCGCTCTGCCTAGGCCTCCTTCTGACTGGCTAGAGGCCACACGATGTCTCCTCCCACAGACTTGCCTTACCTGCTCTGCAGCTTCTGTGCACATGGAGGGTGATGTCCTTCCTCCGGGGATCAGGATCTGGGAGTATCTGGAGCCACAGTTCGGCTACTGCACTGACCGTTTATTCTTGTGTCAGAAACAGACTGTCTCCTGAGCTCAGGACACAGGTTTCTCCCCAAAAGGAAGAGAATGGTTTCACTGTCTCTCTTTCGTCTCTTGGTGCCTCTCAAAAACAGCGAGAAGGTGCCAGTTCCACCTCCTGACTCATTCGCTCGAGAGGACTTACTCAAGTGGAGTAGGGGGACCTCCCCAAGGAGAGGAACCCATAATTGTGTTTTGAATTGTAAGACACCATTCTCTTTAATCCCAGCAAAACCCTGTGAGCAAAGTGCAGTTGTCTGTCTTATGGATGAAAATCTGAGGGCCATCGTGATAAACTAACCCCGTTAGGCTTCCATGGTGGTAGAGACAAAGGCAGGCAGCAGAACCAGTCCCTCCTTGTGGATCGGGGGTCTGAGTCCGAGAGGGTCACCAGGTGGTCTTGGGTGAAGGAGAAAGCATGTGCGTAAGTGGGAGATGGGGGGTGTCTCACGCCAACGCTACCTAGAGTGGAGGCAGGGCTAGTACTGTCCTGGAGACAGAAACCTCTGGAGGGAGCCTTGCTCTGCCTTCCCCTTCAAATGTCACCATCTAATGTCACCTCTTCTGTTTGCAGTCAGGGCTTGTCCCCTCCCAGCTAGGCACAGTCTCTGCTGGTCATGCAGCACAGAGCTCTGCAGTCCCTTAGCCTGCTTCCAGTGCAGCATCTCCTGTAGAAGTACGAGTCACACAGACATGCCCCCCCCCCTTTTTTTAAAATCACAGAAACCTTCTTTTGACCATCAGTGTTTCCTTAGAAGACATTCGTAAGTTTGGAGCCAGAATGGGAGTCCACAGCGAGTAAAGTGAAAGGTCAGCCTGGAATCCACGCTTCTGTGTGACCCGGGGAAATAATCCACCTCTCAGGTCCTCACTTTTCTCCTGTGTGAAGTTCATTACCTGGAGGCTGGTTAAGTTGTGAGTATTAGTCCGATAGTGCAGAAAAAGCTCTTGGGTGGTTGGCCCCCACTCTGTCTCTTGGGCTTCATGGACGTGGGTTGCTAACGTAGGGCTGAGAAACACTTATGGCTGAATTCTGTGGCAAGTGACATTGTTGTATGTGTATACACACGTATGTAATAGGCATATCCATGCAATACCCATCCGCATGCATGGAGAGGCCCAAATAGGGCATGAGAGTGTCTTCCTCCATTACGCTCTACCTTATTGCCTTAAGGCAGGGCCTCTCTTTTAAATGGAAGTTCACATTTTGGCTAGGCAGGATGACCAGTGAGCTCCCAAGGTCTGTCTGTCTCAGTCTCCAGTGCTGGAGTTACAGGCACAGCTTTTATGTGGGTCCTGGGGATTTGGACTCAGATCCTCATGCTCACCAAATGAGTGCTCTTACCCACTGAGCCATCTTCCCATCCATGCAGTGATATCTTTGAGGTAGAGCAGAGACTTTCTAATGATATACGTATAGCTGGGATGGTGGCTCACTCCTGTCATCCGAGCACTGGGGAGGTAGAAAGAGAACGGGTATGATTTTGAGGCCAGCCTGGGCTACAGAGTGAGAGCCCGAGTTGATGATGTATGTGAGTGTTTTACAATGAAACTCTCAGACCAGTAGCTGGGCCAGATGACTGGAGTGGTGGGGGTGGGGTTTACACAGTTCCCGCCCTGAGCGAGTGTCTCCTGCTTCCGGTCCTGCAGGGTCCAGGAGCTGGAGCAGTCGGAGAGGAAGCTTCTCCTGAAGGTAGAACAGCTGAGTGCCTGCGTGGCCCAGGAAAGACGTGCCTCACTCTACGCCCAGGAGCAGCTGCGGGCGCTGCAGGGGGAACTGGTCAGCCAGGTTCGTGTCCCTTCTACTTGCCAGTGCCTGGTCGTGTGGTCACCCTGGGCCTCAGCTTCTCTGTCTGCTGTCCCCCTCCCTACCTCCCAGGCCTCCTGGGGAAGCCTGGGTGTCAGCATGTTCGTACCTTTCTCATGCCTGGGCTCCTGAGGACAGGAGGTGGCCAATGCAGGTCTCTGTCTTCAAATTGCTGCATGCAGGTGGGGACAGAGGAGAGATAAGAACCTGGTCTTGGGTGGAGGAGGGACTTGGGCACCTTGTGAGTGAGATGGGAAAAAGACGTTTCAGAGAACTGGGGGCAGACCTTCCCAGACCTTGCTGGGAAGGGAATATGAAGTGTGAGGCTGAGGTGGACCAATGTGCTGCTGTGGAAGGCTGGGGAAAGAGGTGCGTGTGGGGAGGGAAAGGCCGGGAAGTACGTCAGGGACTCCAGAGGGGTCACTGAAAAGATAACCTCCCAGCAAAGGAGCTGGCACTAGGAAGCCCAAGGAAGACAACTAAGACTTTGGGGAGTGTGTGTGTGGGGGGGGGGCAGAGCACAAGAGACACCTCCACCAAGAAGTAGTAAGTAGTTCAGGGGCGTGTTTTGGAGGAAAACCCTAGTTCTACTGCTGAGTTGGCTGTGTGACATTGGACAAGTGATATAACCTTGACAGGTCTCAGTTCCCTCATCTGTAAAATGGGAATAATATGGTACCCACCCCTCAGGTGGTCATATGAGTTAAATGACTAGAAACCTGTAGAATGCTCAGAGAGGTGGGCATTTCACTAATGTTATCCATCGGCCATTCTTATCCATCATAAGAAACCTTCCAGCAGGGGAGATGATTCAGGGCACACCGAGGAAGAAATAGCAGATGGATCTGGATCTCTGCAGTAGGTACCCTGTGATGCCCGGGCACCCAGCTTCAGGGATTGCACTTTAAAGCATAGCTTCGGGGTTTTGAGATTGCAGGGTGCAGCCCATTCGTGGGATGGGAACTCAGTACGAACAGGCGGTGCCTGCACTAAAGGGAGTGCTGTTTCTCGAGTCTTGTTCAGCTGTGCCTTGGTGTGTGTGCATGACCTATGTGATGGTCCTGTGTGTCTGTGACAGTGGGCAGCCATGGGACAGCCAGGCAAGGAGCCCGACTCGGCTCAGTTCAGCCCTCAGGTACTGGGGGGTCAGCACTCTTGCCTCTCCCCTGACCACTGGAGGCAGAGTCACATGAAATTGGCTCCTGGGCTCACATGCCTTTAGCTTCTCAACCCCAGGGGAGTCTTCCTAGCAAGGTAGAGGGTACTGGGGACACATGGTTTCTCTGAGGAGACGCTGTAAGGGTTTTTGAGCCTTGCTCTCGACACACCTGGGATTCGCCAGGGGAGTCAGGGACAGTCCTGCATGGAGATGCTTATAGTGTGATGGAAAATGAAGGGCAAGGGTACCATGTAAGCTAATTGCGTTGTGGCATGAGGGATTCTGGGGAGGCTCTATGCCCTTTCCACATGCTTCCCTGTTGTTATTACTGTCTTGAACAACATGAAGGCATTCAGACAGATCTGTCAAGAAACCTCTTTATAGATTCAGGGGCTGGGCCAGGGTCACATGTGGCCCAGCTGCAGCCCAGCCCCCATCCAACCTTAACCTCTAGCCTTTATGTTTTTGGTGGAGACTTTGGCATGTGGTAGTCAGTATTGCAGGGATGTGTGAACAGGCTTTGGGCATCTTTTGTGTCTGATCTGTCACAGATGGCAGCTTTGCTCTGGTCATATTCCCAGGAAGCAAAGAGGCTTCATTTCTGCAGTGAGCTCTGATCATCCTGAGAGGTGCCAAAGGCCCACCCACTCATGCTGTGGATCCCCAGGCACCCAGAACCACACAGACACCCACTACAGAATTCACACCATTGTAGAGCCGGGAGAATTTACATCCAGGAAACGCAACTCCACACCTGACCAATAAACTACCCCACAGAGCCTGCCTGAGATGGCCCGTGCTTCCTTTCTTCTTTGGGGTGTGTTTCTCCCACCTACGGGCTCTCTGGCAGCAGAGGGTGGCAGGTAACTGGTAAGAGAAAGCTTACCACAGAGGTAATGTTTGTCTCGACACATTGTGAACACTGAAGACCCCCGTTTTTTCAGGGTGGTGTTGCACTGTATGTGGTAGGGAGAAGGCAAGGGGTCCAAATATGGAGAAGTGTTCCCTGATCAGGTGGATGGCCGAGGGACAGAGGGAGGCCCTTGAGTCAGACCCAAGGCTGCCATGCTGTGCCCCAGAGCTGGCTGCAAGAATTTTAGCTGTCCCACTGTACAGGTAACTTCTGAGTGTGTGGCGGGACTAATGGCAGCCTTATTGGAGGTGGGAGAGGCATTGAGTTGTGAACAGCTGCTGTGGTTTCCTGGCCCCTGCTCAGCTCATATCACTGAAATAAGAAGTTCTGTGGAGTTTGGAAATTGGTGTGGACTGTTCAGACTGAGCAAATCCAGAGGCCTTCTGTAGGGTGTACTGCCCTTCCAATCAGTGCACTGCACACACACACACACACACACACACACACACACACACACACACACACACACACACGACTTAGGGAACTCATGGAGCTCCTGGGCTCATCAGTTTAGGGTGAGGTGAAGATGACTCTTGGCCACAGTGCCAGCAAACTCAGTAATCAGCCTAACTTAAAAAGTGTTTATTTATTTTGTGCGTGCACATACGTGCGTCATAGTGGAGGTCAGAGTCCAGCTTGTGGGACTGGTTCACTCCTTCTACCACGTGCCGGTCCTGGGGGACCCAACTTGGGTCTTCATGCTTGGTGGCAAGTGACTTTATCCTCTGAGCCATCTGTGGTCCCAATGTAACGTTTTAATGCAAAATACTTACTATGCACAGAATATGGGAATGTTAGGAAGAGAAATCAGAGCGAGCAAGGCGTGAGCCTGGTGCTCCCTGACGTCCCCATCACCACAACTCCTAGGTGCGGGAGGCGGAGAGCGCGGCCAGACGGCAGCAGCGGCTACAGGAGCGGCTGCGGCACAAGGACGAGGCTCTGGCAAGGCAGGCGGCAGCCCTGGAGCGCTGTGGGTGGGCGCAGCAGCTACAGCTGGGCCTGGTGCGGGAGCAGGAGCGCGTTCTGCGGGCGCAGGTGCAGCGGCTGGAGCGCGACGTGCGGCGCCTGGGCCGCGCTGCCGGCCTCCTGCTGGCACAGCTGCATGCCCCGGACCCGTTACCAAGTGCGGGCAGCCCCCGGCCGCAGATCCTGGCCGGTCCCCTAGGCACTCCCGAGGCTACAGAGCTGAGCGCACTGCGGGTCAGGGCGGAGCGCGCAGAGCGGGAGTGGGCGGAGGCGGCGCGCAGGCTGCGGGAGCACAGCGTCACCGAGCGGCAGCTGCGGGAACAGCTGGAAGAACTGCGCTGCTGCGTGTATGGGCTGACGCTGTCGGAGATAGGTCTGCAAAGCCAGGTGGAGGAGCTCGCCCAGCAAAACAGGCGCCTGCGGGCCCAGCTGGGGCGCGGTAGCCTGGTAAGTGTCTGGAACCCAGGACAGGAATGACCGCTTGCCCTCTCTCCTCTGACTCTTGTCCAGCCACTTGATCAAGGTCGTTCCTCAGCATCCTCTCATCATTTATGTGAACTAGAGGCCGGTCCATCCTTCACCATACCCAGTCTCCGTCCCTACCATCCATACACACGAGGTCACCACTGTCGTATGGTCACTCACTACCCATATGACCATCTACTCATCTGCCAACCATTTAATATCTACCCACTTGTCCACGCACTTGCAGACCCCCGTGTCCAACTACATACTACACCCCACCGCCATCTTCTGTTGCTCTTCCCCTCACCCACTGTTAAGGGTTCGAATGTGCAATGGCCTACCTCCCCCACAGGCTCATATGTTTGAGCCCTTGGTCCCCAGCTGCTGGTCCTGTTTGGGGAGGTTGTGGAACTCCACTTAGACCTGACAGGTGTGTTCAATCTGCAGCCCTTGCAGTCTCTCTGGGATAGCTATGAATGCGGCCCAACACAAAAGCCGAGACTTACAACACCATGAGGTTTTTAAAAAGCAATCATGCGGTTCTTGAGCATGGATGTGGTAGTGAAAATATTGGAGTCACAATGCTGAAAGGTTAGAGATGCCTGCTGGGAGGTGGGGCCTGGGTGGGGAAAGTGGGTTGCTCGGGCAACCTGCAGTTCTAGCTCAAGGCTTCCACCTACTGGAGCTTCCTGAGCTGTGAAGAGGCAGAGCCCCAACTCCTTCCCCAGCTGCTCCCAGCCCCACGCCTTCCTGGCCATAGTTGTAGTCTCTACATGAAGAGACAGAATAAGTCCTTCATCCTGGAGGTTGCTTCGGCCAGGTAATTTGTCACAGCGGCAAGAGAGATAACCAGTGCACCCCCACCCCAACACTAGTCTAGCCCCTCACACCCAGCCCAAGGCACCCCCAGACTCAGGTGTAGGAGATCTGGTTTGTAGATGGTACCTTGTGGCTGCGGAGTACTCACCTGGTGGAAGGGGCATGTGCCTCTATCATGAGAGTGATGGACCACCTGTGAGGGGCCCATTCCTAATTAATCACCTCCTCACATTGTTGCCTGGGTGATTAGATTTCACAACCTGTGAATTTGGGAGCACAAGAAACATTTGGGCCTCGGCCGCCGTCTGTCCACTGTCACCTGTGCTTCCTGGTGTCCCCATTCATCTATATCTTCCCCATCTGTCCACTCATCCAGCTGGTTGCCAGGCAGCCAGTTGCCCCTCATACCCTTCCCGGTTTGTCCTTCTGTTCACCCATCTATTTGACACTGAGTGGATCCCTACAGTGTGCAAGCCCTGTGAGAGACAGATCCTCAACCCACAGTATAGGTCTCCTCTGACCCAGCCCCTCCCCAAGAGCACTCACTCCTCCCCTGTCTTCCCTAGTGGTCATTCCAGGCTGTGAGCAACTTCCTCCCCTCCTGGGCTGTGAACTTCCCAGGGCAGGTCCAGCATCCACTGGTCTTTGCATCCTCCATTCCCAGCAGCAGCACATGGGGCCCCAGGGCTGCCTAGGAGAAAGTGCCATGGGTTAGGCATCTTCTGGATCTCTCCATTACTAGCTCTTTAAACATGGGTGTGTTTCTTATGCTGGGGCAAGAAGACTGGGCATTTATTTCCTCTTTAGTTGATGGAAGAGTAAACATGCGCATTTAATGTCTTCCTGCCATGTGCCAGATGTGTTCAGAGCTTCCTCTCAAAGCTTGTGGAGACAGGGGCAGCTGCTCTCAGCATCCTCGCTCCATAGAGAGGAAGCTGAGGCTCCGGGCAGTAGTGTCTTGTCTGTGGTCACTCATAGCTGTTGAGAGACAGACCTGGAAGACAGACCTTGGCATCAGGGCAGGTGGCTCCAGCTGCATTGGCCCTGTGTCCCTAAAGCCATAGTGAACTCAGTTCCTTTAAAGAAGAGGAGACACTTGGGAGATAGAGGCAAGAGGATCAGAATTCAAGCTACATAGAAAGTTCGAGGCTACCCTGGACAGTGGCAGACCCTGCCTCAAACAAAAACACAACAAAAACAGACAGACGGTACAAACCAATGGGAGTTGCTCACTTAAAAATTCAAACGTGTCTTTTAATTGGAACCTGGAATGCTCAAGTTCCCCGGATAATGGCCTGTCTCTTGCCTGGGCCAGCTTACTGATGGCGTCTGTGTTCTGTTGTGCATTTCACTGCTTTATCTCCGGCCTGTCCCTCCCGTGCACCTCTTGTTCAGCCACCAAGAAGAAAACAAAGTGTACACTTACCATTGTCTCCTTGTAATTCTGAAAATAAATGATGCGCACATGGAACTTGTCACTTAGCATCTTTTCTGTGATTACCATAAATGTGCTTTCATTTAGGCGGTTTGCCTGAGGCTTTATTCTCCCAGCTTGTCATCATCCTGAGCACTGGGACTCACTGTTCCTTCAAAACACTTCTCTGAGAGGAGTGGGTTCCTAGATGCCTGGCAGGGTCTTGCTCCTGTTTGCCCATTTCCTGTTCTCTCCTTTAATCCCTCATGTGTTAGGGAACAACCACAAGGCTGATGGAGGGACTGCCCAGGAAGGGCAAGTGATTTGGCCACAGACACCAAGACAGCATCAGGACCAGCAGGGAGTCACACCTCCTTCTGCTGTCCTTCCCTCTGGATCAGGGGCAAGAGTCAGTAGCTCTTTTGGGATCCAGGCTCTTCAGTGGCTGGATCAGGTAGGGTCTATACCCTCAGCTGTAAAGCCTTCACCAGTCACAAGCATCCACGACCTCACTGTTGCATGCTCTCTCTTCAGCAGGCCCTGCATCCCAAGGAACTGCACTGTATGTAGGGCTTTGACTATCAAAGCCCAAAGATGTCTAATGAAGGTCGCCTATGTTGTCCATAAACAGTGGTCCCTATGTATGGAGCAGAGGGAAAAACAGAGGCTGCTCTTAGGAACCCACGGGACATGCAACACTACTCAGTAGGGGAGTTGTGTGCTGATATGGGGAAGGAACTCCTATAGGGAACTGCAGGGGGATCCCACATAGGGGCCAGTAGTGATCCAGACTGGCCGGGATAGTCTTGGACTGGTTACTTAGCTTGTGTGCCTCAGCACCCTTATTATGAGATGGGACTGACACCCACAGACTGGGATGCTCAGCGAATGAGCCGCTCAGTGAGGAAATGATCACAAGAAGCCACTTGCCCCAGTCACAGGGACTGTCCTCATGTGGCTGTATTGCTGTAAGGAACAGAGACTGGGAAACAAGAGGTATGGAGTGAGTGTGTGTAGGGACCTGTGCAGCAGTCAGTCTTCACAAAGCTGCCATTTACCTGGAGCTGTGTGCTCAAGGCAGCCAGCTGATGAGGGGGTGGAGTTAGTAGCCCTCACTTTACAGGTGAGGAAACTGAGGCAGGTGGGGAAAGTCACGTGCTCCAGCAAATGGAAGAAGCCAGGTTTGAAGTGGGGAGCACAGACCCCACTCCCAAGATGGCCCTCTGCTTATTACATCTGATGGACTCTGGGAGCTGAGCTGTGAGCTATAGGGCGGGCATTGTGAGAAGACATTTCAGTTGCTGCTTAGCCACGGAGCACTGGCCCTGAAAGGCTCCCTTCGATGTTGTAAAGCACCCAGGGAGGCACTGGTGCCCCTGTCCCTAAGCTGAGTCTGGAGGAGTGAACGCCATTTGCCCAAACTCAGATAGGTGACAACTTTCAGAATAGGTTGCTTAGAAGCTAAGTCCCCAGAGGAGTGGGCCACTAGGAGGATTCTGAGGAAGGGCTCCTGACAGTCAAAGGAGCCGAGGAGGATGGTGGGCGGCAAACTGCCATTTGCCTGCTGGTGTGTTGGCGTGCTTCTCTGTGAGTGTTCACTGAGCTTCTGCAGTGTCCCAGGAGCAGTGCTGGGCCCTGGGCCTGGAGTGTGTGTGTGTGTGTGTGTGTGTGTGTGTGAGATCTGGGTATGACCAAGATCTCAAGATCTTGGAGGGGAGACAGACACAAGAACAAGCCGTGGTGGTCCTGGCTTCTAAACAGCAACATCAGAAGACAGACAGATGGCCATGACATGGCCTGGAGGGTCACTGAGAGAGGCTTATGTATAGAGATGAAAGTCATGTTGTTTGTCATCTGGGAGCTGAGGAGCTGGGGTGATGGGCCTTGCTGAATGTTTTCTAAATCTCCCTGTCCTGCAGTATACATAGAGTGACCCCGGCAACATCTGTGGGGATGTTTTCATTGCTGGGGAAGGACCCCTGCATGCACCTCTGTAGGACAGTGCCACCACGGGTTTGCCGTTCACTATAAAGCAAACAGGGGCGTTAAGAAACAGAGTCAAAGGGGCTAAAGAGACGATTCAGTGGCTAAGAGTTCTTGCTGCTCTTGTAGAGGACCAGGGTTTGGGTCTCAGCACCTACACGGAGTAGATCACAACTGCCTGTAACTCCAGCTCCCGGGAATCCAACGCTTTCTTCGGAGGGCTCCTGCACACATGTATTACAACATTTACTCAGGCACATACATATACACATAAAATTAAAATAAATAACTCTTTAAAAAAGATAGTTGACCAAAAGTTAAGTGATAAAGTACTTGCCTAGCATGTGTGAGGCCCTAAGTCCAATTCCTAGCAACACACACACACACACACACACACACACACGGGGGGGGGGGGGGGCGGGGGGAGAACAGAAGGAGATAGTCAATACAAGCAGCTATTAAAGAAGCCACTGCTATGCAGGGTTTTGGCCTTTGTAGACCTAAGCCTTTGGGGAGGGCTGTCAGTCAGTGAGCATTACATGCTGTAAGAATGCCTATACTTACTATGTGACCATGAACCTCCGTGGACAGATGTTTGCTCTTCTCACTGTTGTGACTGAATACATGACAAGAAGCAGTGTAAGGGAAGGAGGGCTTATTTCAGCTCATGACTTGGGGGTACAGTCCCAGCCTGGTGAGACAGGCATGGCAGGTATCAGGGACACGAGGCAGCTGGTCACATTGTGTTTGCACTCAGGAAGCAGAGAGCGGGTAGGACATGGGACCAGCTTATCAAGTGTGTGCTACCACCAGGCCTGTCCCCAGTAAGCCACTTCCTGGAACCAAGGGTTCAAACACATAAGCCTGGGGGGACGCTTCCCATTCAGACCACAGCACATTTTGAAGAAAGGAGTTCGCAGCTGCCAAGCAGCTGTGCACAACTGTCTCCACCTTAGAGCTGTTTGCAGCTGGCAGAATCCAAGGTAGCCTCAGTACCCCGTGAGATGGAGCCTGCATGGTCTCGCTTAGGCCAGGGTTTCTCAAATCACTCATCACACCTATCGCATAAGACATTTTCCCACAACGTAGGTATGCCAGCATATAAAACAGATGCACAGGGGCTGGAAAGATGGCTCAGTAGTTAAGAGCATGTACCCCTCCTCCAGAGGACCCAGGTTTGCTGTTCAGCACCCACATCAGGATACTCACAACTGCCTGTAACTCCAGTTCCAGGGGATCTGGTACCCTCTTCTGGTCTCTGCACATACCCCCGCACCCCAATACCCAGCATGTGCATACCCACACACAGACATCCAGATACACATAAATACAAATAAAGTAAGTTTTAAAAGTAGTTATACAAGCCAAACATTTACTGATGAGTAATAAAATTTTTATTTTAAACAATTCTTTTATATATTTATATGTTTAACATTTACTAAAGATTAAAGCAAATTTGCATGCTAATGAGTAGATGTGTGTATGTATTTTTGCATAAAGTCACACAGAGCAGCACGGGTGAGCACTACCAGGAACGCCTCATTTTCATTACATATTTGATTCTGAGTTCATTTGGTGTTCTTGGACATTCAGAACTCTTTTACTATTTCCAAGTTTTTGGTGACACTTAGTTGCACAACCCCGTGTGGGTCATGACACCCGTTTTAAGAAGCTGGGACTTAGGAGATATGTGGGCAGAGAACGTTAGGCAGCCCCAAAACCACAGCAGGAGAGTTTGGGGGGATTTGTTTCCTCTAAACTATTGAACAAAAAAATGCACAAAGCTAAAGTTTACATTTTGTGTAAGGAGAAATCTTCTGTTATCTGTGCTTAGAGAAAATCACAGAATGATGTACTGTGACACATAGATTCTTGTGTCTAGACATCATTGTATCACAGAGGAATCACACACCAAGGCACACCAGAGTCCAGGCCATTGTTCCCTCAGGCTGAGCAGAACACAGTGCTGGAAAGGATCAAGGCCAACTCTTCTCCTGTTTTCCATTTGACTTGCTGTGTGACCTTAGACAAGTTGCTCTCCCTCTCTGACTACTGATTCAATCACTCATGAAATGGGTGTGTGTGGACCAGATAAGTTATCATTTCAGCATCATAGCATGTAGGACGCCCCCTAGAGGTCTCCCTGGGGCAGAAATCGTGTGCATTTTCTGTGGCTGTGTCCCCAGGCCTGGTCCTTAGCTGGGGCTCAGTGAGCGTTCACGAAGCCATCCAGGCAAAGAAGCATGGCACAAGCAGGATGTGCAGTGAGTGTCATAGTGAACGTGTGGCCTTGGTGAAACACGACAAGTGTCTCTCTCTGTGCTGACTCCAGCCTTCCTTCCTCCACCTGCCTGTCCCTCCTCTCCTTCTACCCTCTCTTCTCCTCACCCTTACCTGGAGCTTGAGTCTTTCTCTGCCCATCCCCTCTTTTCCCTGTTTCATTTATTTTTTTCTTTTCTGATCTTTCTCTCCATCCTTCCTTCTCTCCATCTTTTTCAACCTTCCTGCATTTGTCTCTCCCTTCCTTCAGCTTTCCGATCTTCCATCTTGCTTTCATGCTGATTTTTAAACTGTTAAGTATGGCCAGGTGAGAACCGAGTGGACAGAAACAGAGGCAGGTGACGGGGCTATGAGCACAGGTGACAGTGGCCTGTCTGGCCAGGCCTGTCTGAACGCAGCCTGTTGTCTAATTAGGACGTGAACTGTTGCCTATGCCCTCTGGTTGCTCTTGGTTGAGTGCTCTCGTCAGTCCTTGTTGGAAGCTTCTGGAAGAATCTATGGCACAGCTGGGGCTGAGGGCCCTGACTTAGAAGCAAAAGGATACAGCACAAACCGTTGCACAGATAGATAAGAGGTCGCAGAAGGAGGGGCCGGGGGGAGGGTGATGGGGACTTGATTTATGAAAAGGTCAAGGAAGCCCAAAGAAAGCCTCCTGGGGACTTGACCACTGCTTCTGCAGGACACTAACTCTTATTTACTACCCTCTTGCAATAGCTTGCATGCTCCAAAGACTGAGCTGTTACAAAACTGATTCTAGGTGAGAGGCAGAAGTTTACTGTGTGTGGGTTTGCCCAGGGCCACTCAGGTACCCCGTAGCTCAACCACAGCCCTGCCCCATGCCTTGGGGTCTACAGTCCCTGGCTGGAACACAGAGCAAGGTATATGTGTGAGACTGGGAAGATGGGATTTTTATCCTGCTGGACAAGAGCGAGAAGTGGAAAGCATCCTGATCTGGTTTGGTTTCCAGTTTAATTTGCTGGTCAAATGTTCAGTGGGGTGGAGCCAGGGCCGGTAGCCAGCTACAAAGAGGCCTGTATGATGGTTTGCTGGATGTTAGGACCCTTCCCTAAAGTAGCAGAAAGAACAGCTTGTGTAGAGGCCCAGAGGCAGAGAATGTGGCTGGCATGGTGGCAGGCCAGGAGGCCACCATGTCAGGGGCAAGAGCCTACAGTGGTCATGACATCTGGAGCAGCTCACAGGTGGCCTCCAGGACCATGTTGGGGATGTTCCTCTCTGCTCACACAGCTGGCCTCCTGCAGGTCTGAGGGGCACTTTCTAGGTCACTGGCTACTGTCCCCTTTAGGACTTGCTCATAGGGGAACATTAAAAATTCCTGGGCAGATGCCAGCTTTCCCTGGAGGGACAGAGAGACCATACAGGAGCAAGGCTGGGACCAACCCCCCCCCCCACACACACAGTTTCTTGTCTAGTTGGACAGACTACTCCAAGGACAGACTGCCACCCCCTGTAACTTACTGAAAGAATCCCAAGAGTCAACAGAAACACTGTGGCCTGATAAACCAGTGGCCCTGGTTAGGCTCCATGGCTTTGAGCCCACTGCTCTCTGAATCTTAGTTTGCTGACTTTGGAGGGGTCTGACCATTGCTCTGAAGGGATCATAGGCATGGGCTTGGAGTGGACACTTCCACGGGGCACTTGTGACTGTTCAATTCTTTGTCTCTCTCAAGGGTGCCGTGGGCTGTGCACAGAGTGATTCTCTGCCCTCGCCCAGAGCAGTGGTGCCGGATCCTTGCAGCAGCCAAGGCTGCCACAGCGATGCTCGTGGACTTCAAGCCCCAGCAGGTTTGTAGATGCTGTGGTACACAGAGGGGCCACCTGACATCCATCTGATGGGCCAGCCCACTTAGTCCTCATGTTATCCTTACAGTGTTGGGTAGGATGGTTTGTTTACTCCTCTTACAGGCAAGCCAAGGCTCAGAGAGGCTCAAGGTCACACAGCTGGTCAGAGAGGCTCGAGGTCACACAGCTGGTCAGAGAGGCTCAAGGTCACACAGCTGGTCAGAGAGGCTCGAGGTCACACAGCTGCTCAAGGCCAAATCAGGGTGTGATGTTCCAGGGGCCATTAGCTTAGGATAACTGGACACTTAAACTTATGCACTCAGCTCTCAAAGGGTGCCAGTCAGCTGCCGGTTGGGTGTGGGGCCTTGTCCTCACAGAGACATCTCTGGTAAGCAGGGGCTTTCCTAGTCACCTTCCACCCAAACAACTCCTCAGGTTGAGGATGAGGCTTGTAGTGACTGTCAGTCTGACAACTACTGGGACTTTGAGGTCCCTGGTCTCTAACTGTCAGACATAGTTTCTTACCTCCCTGCTATAAGAGACCCTGCTTGCTCATGCTCAGCCCTCAAGACCTAAGAGCAGCCCAAGTCTGATGATACCCAGGGCCGCTGGTTGCAGGAGGAGGCAGCTGATGTCCCCCTTCAGTCATGTCTAGGGATCAGAGCTGTTGGGTGGGCCAAGATGGGATGTGACGTGGTGGGGCTATTCCTGAAATCTGTGCAGGGTCAGGGTGGGGTTATCAATCACCCTGTTGACAGATGAGGACCCTGAGGGTCCAAAAACTTCATGAGAATAGTCCAGATGTGGTCCAGGGGAGTATCTTGAGAACCAGTTCCTCTGCTCACAGTTGGTGGTCATTCATATCTTCCAGCCTCAGGTCCTTGCCTGGCTCACCAGAGTGGGGCTCATCAGGACTCACAAAGGCTAAGAGACCCGAGTCAAGAGAGACATTTGTCAGCTGACATGGCTGTTGGTCATTGTCATTGATCTTCCAAGAGGGATTTTAACCTCGGGGTCTTGCTGTTCTAGGCCAGCTCTCAGAAGAGCCCCACAGCTGTGGTGGAGATAGACCAGCCCCCTGCGTGGTGGTGCCAGCAAGGACCATAGACAAGCTCCAGAGAGACCTGCCAGGGTCTGAGCGTAGACAGGTGAGGCCAGAGGGTTCTGTAGATATGAGGATCAATGCAGCCTTGGTGGCCCTGCTATGTGCATGGTGATGTGGCCACCTGGGGAGGCTCTTCTTGTGAGGAAGCTCCAGATTTGGAAGAATATTCTGGAAATGATTGAGAGAGGTTTGAGGGGATGGGATGCAGTTTGCTGAGACCTAGCCAAGAAGTAGGGTAGGGCAAAAAGAAACCCAACTCAGTGCCTGGGCTGAGCTACCCCAAGACACTCATGATGCCTTAGTGAAGACCCTGACCACCTACAGAAGAAGCACTGCCTCCCTATCTGGAGATGATGAGACCTGAGGGATGCTGGGACTCCCTAGAGCTCAGAGCTCCAGCCTCCTTCTTTTCCAGCCTCTGTGTCATTCCAATGGTCTGATCTCAGGAGCTGCATCTGAATTCTTCCTGATGCTGTGGCAAACCACTGACCTCGGCTTCTGCCTCTGGTCCTAAAGAACAAAACTGCACTGGGAGTGCTGTCCTGATGTGGCTCCATGGTTCTGAACCTCATGCATACATACATACATACATACATACATACATACATACATACATACATTTGTTCATTCATTCACTTCCTGAACCATCCCCTCATGCAGTTTGGCTCCATACAGAGGAAGGAATTCCACACAGTTCTTTGTCACCCTGAAATAGCATGTGCTCAGCTTCAGTGCCACATCTGTCTCTCTGTCAATTCTATTGTCTCTAATCTCATCACCGTGTTAGAACTGTGTTGCTGCTGCCCTTGAGGCCCAGGCTAGATCTTTTAATTTAGGGATATCCAGTTTACAAATGCAGGTGTGTGACTCCAGAAGCCAAGTGATTCCCTCCAGATTAGAGGCAAAGTTTAAGCCTCTTCCTGCTGGTCAGAGTCCCTGCCAAGATCCTGTCCACCGTCCCACAGCTCACTCTAACCCAGGGAGACTGAGAAGCTCACGACTGGTAGAGAAGTTGACTGGAGCCCGGGTCTGTCACCTGTTTTCCTGCTCCACTCGGCTGCTGTGAGTCAGGCATCTTCCTTTCTGGATAGATGCGTGGTATAAATGACTATAAAGACATTCAGAGTGGTCTAGAGCCTCTCAGGTGAGCGTGACACTGTTCCAGGCCTGGGGCAAAATAAAGGCCAGCCCCTATGCCCCAGGGGAATAGATAGTTCACATCATACTGTGTATACTATGCCACGGGGTGGCTCATGCTCCTGCAGAATCGAACTTCATTTATAACTTCACATTCTGTGGTGCTCACGGAGACCATGTTAGATAGACAAGAGCGGTGGGGAGTGTGGGCCACCCTATAGACATCTGTGTATGATCCGTTGTGGTGCAGCATGCGGAAGATAAGTGAGGGTGGCCAGGGCATGAGTGCTCCAGGGGGTTGGGTCTCTGTGAGGAGGCAATGCTTGGTTTGAGATGAAGGGGGTTTTTCTTGAGGATATCTGGGAGAAGGAGAATCTTGGGCAATGGGAAGAACTCAGGCCGAGGCCCTGAGGTGGACGAGCAGGACACGTGTGCAGCTGTGTGAGCGGGTTCAGAGAGCACTGGGGGTGGGACATGATCAGATGTTGCGGGGGCTCAGCAGGCAGAGACTGTTTCATACCACATCTCCTCTCTCCACCTGCAGGGTGCTCTTGTCCAGCCCCGTCTAGATGGACAGACTCTTGGGCTGCTGTGTAGCCGCCTCCCAGAGCCAGGCATGGATGAACCACTCTGCTCCTTGGAGCTGGCAGCAGTTTCAGAGAGTCTTCAAGCTGCTGGAGCCCAGGAACCCCTCCTGTTGTTACCCACATCCATGCTTCCACTCTGGGGTCCTGCTGGGGAACCACAGCTCCTGCTATCACCTCTGCTTCCGGATCATCTCCTCCAAGAACTTCAGACCCAAAAAGAGCTGGACAGCAAGCCCTCACCTGCCCCTGGGGCTGTGGCACCCCCTGGCTGGCCTTGTAATCTGGCAAGGAGCCATGTCACCTCCCTCAACCAGGAGTCCCCACTCACAAAAGGGTCCAAGGAGCCCAGAGACATGTGGGAAGAGAGAAGTGGACCTCCAGTTGCAAGTGCAGAGAAGTGGGAGGTGATGGGAACCTTGGGAATGATAAAATTAGAGCTTGAGGACAAGTCCCTGCTGGACCAGGAAAGCAGTGGGAAGCTGATCTTGGACACAGAGGTCCAAGCCCCAGAGGGCATGCAGGAAGGGAGCAGGGCTTCAGAGACCCAGCCCGTGGCCCACTGTCCTCGGCTCCGGCCAGAATGTCTCATACCGACTCTGCATGGAACAACCTCTAGGCCACAAGAGCGTCCTGATTCCTTAAGAAAGAGAGGGAGTGTGGAAGGATGTGGCTGGGAACTCTTGGGAAAGCTGCCACCAGAGAAGGAGGAAGAGGCCACCAGCTCCAGGGCCCATGAGACCAGAGAGCCAGAGTCAAATGGTAGCCAGCTTCCATCAGGAAAGGGCAAAGAGGTCTGGAGGAGGGCATGGGGCAAGCAGGATCACCAGCTGTGCCTGGAAGACACTCAACTGCAGAAGGGGAGGTCTGGGGATGAAGACCAAGAGGAGAAGATGCAGCTCCCAGTGATACCCAGCCCGGCCTCCTTGGGAGTCCCTGAGCAGCCTGGCGTCAAGGCCCATGCGGGTCAGGAACAGTGCCTACCAATGGGTGATCAAGATTGGCTGCAGTTTCCCAACTGGGCCCCAGCAGGTGCCAGCAGTGAAGGTCCTTGCCCCTCACAGGCTTTGGTCACAGGACAGGACAGGTGCACCCTGCAGATAGACACGCTGGAGAGGGAGGTGGAGGCCTGCTTCCAGCCGCTGAACAACCTAAAGCTTGTCTGTGGAGATCTCCAGCAGATATCAGCATTGACGAGAGAGAGCCAGAGTGTCACTCATGCATGGTTGGACACTGAGGAGTGTGTGTGCCTTCAGCAGCCCTCAGGTAGCCAGGATCTGAATGCAAAATCCAGCAGGAATGGTGAGGGAGGGAGGCGGGAAGAGGATGTGGCCCTATGTACTGGAGAAGTTCCTCCAGGAGCATCACTTGATGGGGATAAAGTCAACTGGGGCCCTGCAGAGCTGGGTGGGAGCCCATTCCCCACAACATGGTATACCCTCAAGAGGGCAGGGAGCAGGTCCCATCAGCTCCTTGCCACCCCGAAGAAAGAGAGAAGTCAGGTTTTGCTTGATCATGCCAGGCTTCGGGGAGCCCAAGAAGGATGTCACCATGAAGGACGCCACTGTGAAGAAGAGCTGGCGGGAGAAGCAGCCAAGGCACTGAGGCTGGAGCAGGCGAACCACACACTGCAGGGAGAGCTGGGCCACCTCAGGCGTGAGCTGGACCAGTGTCTGCAGGCTGTGTCTGACCTGGAGGACTGTAACGGGAAGAGTTACTGCAAGATTTCCCAGCTGGAAGAGGAAAATGAGAAACTGAAGGGGGACCTGGGCCGGCTGCACAAAGCCATGTCCCAGAGTGTCAGGAAAGCCGGAAGCAGGATGAAGCATGCCACCCAGGAAAACAGAGAGCTCAGGGCTCTGATCTCAGAGCTCGGAGTCAGTTACAAAGGGCTGATAAAGGACACAGTGCTAGGGATAGAAGACATGGTCTGGGCTCTGCAGGGGGAGAACAAGCACCTTGTAGGCAGAGTTCAAGGCCTGGAGCGGGAGGTCCTGCAGATGAACAGGGATTCAAGGGAAGAAAAGCTGTGTTCCCAGGGAAACTCCAAGATGGCAGGAGACGAGGGACATACTGAAGACAAAGAGGTCCAGGTGACTCCATTTTCAGGACAACTGATCACAGGAGCCTGTGGGCCACCCTGGGATGAGAAATTAGGTGTGACTTGGGGTCAGGCAGAACCTTCCTTAGATTTGGAAGATACCAGATGCAGGACTGTTGCTAGTTCTGCCCCATCAGTCTGTGCAGTCACTTCAGGGCCTCAGGAAGCACACACCAACGGGGAAAGGAGAATCGGAACTCGGCTGCAAAAAGAACAGGAGACACCATGGTGTTCTATGCAACCAGGACAGTCTCAGGGGTCCCTGAGCAGAAGCCTCCAGGTAGGCTGACTTGCCTTCCCTCCTGTATTGCTGGCTCTGCAGTGGGGTACCCCCACCCTAAGACCTAGGTACCCCTGTGGCCATAGGAGGGAGTTAGACCATTGGCCCCACTTGACAGATGAGAAAACCAGGCAGAGGAGTGAAGGGGTTTGTCTGAGGTCACGCAGCTAGGGAGGGGTGTAGCTGGGATGAACCCAAGCAGGCTGACCCAAGGTCTCCCTACTGACCGTCCAGGTAAGCCTGACCCTCCCGGGGGATCCAGAGAAGAAAGGGAGGAGGAGGGGGCTTGCACTTTGAGGTCATACCTTGGATTTTCCCAAGAGAGTAATAGCCCAAACAGCCCAAGGCATCACTCTTCAGGTTGGGTCTTAAAAGTTGTTGCAGACTAACCATGGGAGGTAACACAGCAGAATGTAATTGGATTTGCTCTGTAGAGACATGAGACTTCGGCGCAGACATGGGATCTCCTCCTGCCCCAAGACAAATCTCAACTTTTATAATTACAGGGGTGAAATGCTCACATTGTTGTCTGAGGACCCTTGATGCTGGGACCCTGTATCACTCCAGCATCCAGCCTCTCTCTCCTCAGCAATTCTAGTCACTATCTCAAAGAACAGCTTTTGGATTTTTACCAGTTTCCTTTATTGTCTGCACTCCGTCTTATTGGTATGTGTGTATATATGTATATGCATATATATGTGTGCGTATATGTATATATATATATATGATTCTTTCTCTTACAATAGCTTATATCCTTGTATACTTTATTACTATTGTTCTAGTGGCCACTCTAGAAATTCCAGGATGTGTCTATCATTTAGATTTGCCTTAGATTAATGCCTTTGTATCATGTCCCAAATCATGCAAAAAAAATATTTCAGTAGCTTAACTTTGCTAATTGTTTATTAGCTTGTTATACATTGCTTCAATGTATAATAAGCCTCAGGAGTCATTGTTCCTGCTGATTTGAGCGGCCGTTAATCTTTCTTGCAAAGATCTGCGTGTTTTTGTGGTGGTTATTCTTCCACAAGAATTTGGAGGAACGTGTTGTTGCTGGTATTTCTCAGAGTGAGAGTTAGCTGGGGACTGACTTTGTGTTACTCTTTAGGAAACATTGTTTCCACCAGCGCTGAAGATCTCTTCTCTTAGACTGCGCACAGTGGGTCGGCGGCTTCCCCTCACACAGCGCGCTGAAGGCTGCCTTCCACTGCCTCCGCCTCCCACCAGCTCTGCTCAGAAACCAGTTGTCATTATTTCTTCCAGCCACGGAAGAAACTTATGTCATCATGTCTGGCTGCTTTGAAGATTTCCTTTTTATCTTTGATTTTTGATGGCTTGATGGATCTAGCTATGGTTCTGTTTGTATTTTTTATATACATTTTCCCAAGCTCTTTGAACTTAGATACTTATGTCTTTCTTCAGACTTGAAAAATCCTTAGTTATCATCTCCTTAAAAATTTTTTCCATGTTCAGAGGTGCATATGTGTGTATGTGTATGGTGTATGTGTGCTTGGGCATGTATGCTGTTGTGTGCCTGTGTGTGTGTGTGTGTGTGTGTGTGTGTGTGTGTGTGTGTGTGTATGTGTGCATGCAATGCATGCTTGTATGCAATGCATGTGTACGTGTAATGCATGTGTGTGCAATGTGTGTGTAGTGCATATGTGTATGCAATGCATGTGTGTGCAATGTGTGTATGTTTTGCAGCGTGTGTGTGTGTGTGTGTGTGCGTGTGTGTGTGTGTGTGTGTGTGTGTGTGTGTGTGTGCATGTGTGTGGATAACAGAGGTCAACCTCCGCTGTCATTCTCCTGGAGCTATCCACCTGCATTTTTTTCCAGACAGGAATCCTCTGGGACCTAGAGCTCACCAACTAGGCTAGAGTGACTAGCCAATGAGCCATAGGGGTCTACATCTTACACTCCCAGTGTTGGGACTGGAGATGTGTGCCACCACACTTGGCTTTTACCGTGGGTGCTGGGCGTGGACTCTAGTCCTCAGCTCTGCAGCAAGTGCGTCAGCTGACGAACCATCTCTTCAGGCCCCTGGTTGTCCTCTTGTCAAGTATTTATTGTCTTGTTTTTCTTTCACCTTCTGGAATTCCAGGCTTTTTGACCGAATCTTTTATCTTTGAAAGAAGTTTGTCTTAGTTTTGGGTTTTCTACTGACTTTAATTTGCTAACTGTGTGTTCTAGTGAGACCCACCTTTTGATAAATTTACCAAATGAGCTCCTGATTCATTGTACTTTGTGCACCTAGGCTACCCATGTTATTGTTTACAAGGGAGAGATACTGACCGTGTGCTGAGATAGTTAATCTTCTCCTCCACTCAGTCTATCTTTCAAATGTGGAAATACGCAGCCGCTGCCATTCTGCAGGTCTCGTCTCCACTCCAGCGTCTGGACCATCTCTTAGCCCGCTCCTGATGGTCTGATTTCTTGGCAGATGTCACATTTCACAGTTTCTTCTCATATCCAGCCATTCAAAGAGCTCTGTGGTGCTGGACCTGCACGTGACACGTGATAGAGGTCTCCCGGTCACCTCTTCCTCCTGCACTGCTGTGTGTGGCTCTTCCTGGCCCCTCACGAGGTGGTGTCTGGTCATTGTATTCCCATGCAAGTCTTTTTCAGTCCTAGGGTGTGCAGTGACTCTCACGGTGTGGCACTTGCTCCTAAGACATCCACTCTTCCATGATGTTGGCTGTCCTTACATACCTGAACTCCATCCTCACTCTCCCGGCCTTGCTCTCAGTGTTGGAACTAATTTCCTGAACTGTGGTCTACAGGGTGTTTCAGAGAGAAGCCTAGGGGTTCCTGCATTTGGCTGTGTTTCATCCCCCGACCCCTGCCGCTCCCCCAGTCACTTTCCAGGGCTGGCAAAGAACTATTTTTGTGTTTTCTTCCTGGATTTCCTAGTTTCTCAAGAATAGCTATTCTGACTTGACCAGGCAAGAACTGGACATCCAAGGAGATGAATACAGAGAGTTTTCAGGGCATTGCAAGATGGCTGCCCAGGCTCTGATGCCGTGAAAAGCCAGGCTTGTTGAAAAAGAAAGCCAAGCTGGTGTGACTGTCCCAGCATCCAGGGCTGTGGTATGAGGTGGAAGGCAGAAAAGCTGTTGAGAAAATGTCCGAGCTGGCTAGCTGCCCTGAGGTGGGGTGTGTGTGTGTGTGTGTGTGTGTGTGTGTGTGTGTGTGTGTGTGAGAGAGAGAGAGAGAGAGAGAGAGAGAGAGAGAGAGAGACAGACAGACAGACAGACAGAGAGAGAGAGACAGAGACAGAGGGAGTTTGGGGATCACAACTAGGAGGTGACATACAGTTGAGAAATGCAGAATTAGCAACTAGAGATGATGTCCACAGGATTTAGGGATGATCAGGGACAGAGGATAAAGAAAGGTCCCTCTTTCTGTAGCAATCACTTTTAGGCCTATGGCCCTCTCATAGCTTCCTGTCATACTGGACATGAACCCCTAACTTACAGTAAGTGCACACACAGCTGAGAGCCTCCAAGGCTGTAGCTGCCGCTGTCTACACCCCACCCGCCGCACCCTGAACTGCAACGTGAGTTCTCTGCATCCTTCACTGGCCTCTCAGCCTGCCCCAGCTTTCACCTGGGAACTGCTACTGACCTTTGGGTCTCATGTTCAGGGCAGCCCTGCAGACTGGGCTCAGGGCGGAGGGGTATTGGAGCTGCCTCTGGCATAGCTCTTTGCAGCTCTGCAGTCATCAGCGTCGTTGTGACAGGGATTTGTATCACCAGAACTCATGAATGCTACAGATTGGTACTGGACCATGGTGTCCGCCACCACAGTACGGATCGGGCCAGATACTCTGCTCAGAGCCTCGGAAGGGTTCCCAGAGCCTCTGGGCCTCGTCTTACCAACTGGGTTCAATGACCTGTATCTGTCACTCTCCCTGTCAACCAGACCTCTTGTGGGACAGTGTCCCTGCTGTCCTGAAGCCCAAGCACAGCATGCAGTCATCTGTGTAGGACAGACTCAGGCATCAGGCAGGTTTCCCCCTCTACTATCAGACCGCGTTGTGGGCACTCTCTTAGGACTCATGGCGCTGAGCCCTTGTCCAAGCCACCAGAGGCAGGAGGTGGCAACAAACCACCAAACTTCTCAAAAGGCCACGTTGTTTTGGAGTCTGGAGCTGAATTTTATGGAGCCATCCGGAGCACCCATCTGTTCCTGACAGGCCCCAGCCTGTGAGTCTCAGGCCTACGCAGCATGAATTTCTATTAATTAAGAAAAATATCACATTCTGCTGTTGTGGTCCTTGTTCACGGGGAAATGTCCGATCAGTCCCAGAGTCACATGGACCCTGCTCCCTCCTGCTCCACGCTTCTCCTCCTCTCCTCCCACTCAGAATAGCTTGGGTCCCCTTCCACCCTCTCCCACTGGAGTGTAGAACAGTGGAAGTCGTGAGATGAACGAGTTGCTTTAAATAAAGTGAGGGACAAGGGTGTTTGTGAGTTTCTGAGCTCCCCGGTCCCATCCTTAGTGTTACGATCAGGGTTGATCACACCTCGCTCATAGGTTCAGAAATCCTCCCACTGTGATCTCAGGTCAACAACCCACAGGTGTGTGCCTGTCATGGACAAGGTCTATCTCCCCACAGCCTTAGTACGATCAAGTTGAGCACAACTGCAGATGGCACCCCAATACTAACAGCCGTGGGGAAATGCACATGGCACATGATGGGAGAAAGAAAAATGTATCCTGTATCCAATTTCATAGAGGAGCTGGAGAGATGGCTCAGGGTTAAGAGCACTTACTGCTATTCCAGAGGACCCAAGTTCCGGTTTTCCCCAACACCCATGCTAGGCAGCTCACAACCACTTGGAACTCCAGCTCCAGGGGGGTTGACACCATCTTCTGGCTTCCTTGAGCACTGCACTCAGGCGTTACACACTCACACAGACATACACATAAATTAGCATTATTAATCTTTAAAAATGTATAAAGAAAAATATGTGTATGTGTGCATATGCATGCATATTTAAGTTAGTAAAACAATGAGGACTTACCACACAAGACCACTTGGGGGCAGCACTGTCCCTTTCGCTCTGCATCTCCTGGTACCCCTGTGAAATCTGTTACCCTGGTGTTCCATCACAGAATAAGAGATTATTTGGAGCTGGTTTAAGCCAGTGCTCATGGGAAATTCGGCACCATCTGCCCTGTCTAAAGTCATGAAACTTTAGTGGAATGAGTGTCTATACGTGTGTGAAATTTCATCCATTTCTCTGTGTTTCAATACACTAGCAACTGACCGTGATTAAGCAGGACTCTGGTTGATAGATCCTATTTTGCATATTTTTGAGAATAATATTCTGGGATGTTGTTCTGGGGTTCCATATACTCTCCCCGCTACTCTCAAGATATCCTCCATGACCCACACACTCATGTGTGCGCATCGAGGCACTAAGGGCAAGCTATGTGAGGAATGGATGGTAGCAATCATAGGTGGGGATACAGAATTTGAGATGGTGGTTTGCTCCTTTCTTCTCTCTCTCCTTTCCTCCCTGCATTCTTCCCTCCATCCCTCTCTCTTTCACTTTCCTCCCTTTCTTCCTTCTACTGTGAGAAAAACAAACAGGACAGACAGAAAGACCATAGAATAGGTACTGGTCATTGGCTATGGCACATTATCACCTGAGAACTTCACCCACACTTCCTTCTCACAGTTCCAGACCTCCAAGACCGATGCCCCCGAGGAAGACCCCAAACTGTGTGTACAGCGGCTCCACCACCAGGTGCGGACCCTCCAGTGCCAGCTCAGGGACCAGGGCTGGGCGCTGCGGGAGTTGCAGGCTGCTCGGGATGAGGCTGTGGGCCTCCAGGAGAAGCTCAAGGGCAAGGTAGGCTGGGCCAAGCCTTCTCGCCCTCCAAATGTTTCCAGACCTCAAGGAGCAAGTACCAACAGCTTGATGGTGTTGGCTAGAGATTTAAAGACTAGAGTGATGTGCAGAAGAAAGGCAAGGGATCTGGAGCCTTTCCAGGCAGCTGTTCTCCATTAAAAACAACATGTATATATGGTTTTTAAAAGAGCATCAGGCACTGTCTTAGAGTTCCTATTGTTGTGATGAAACAATGTGACCCAAAAGTAAGTTGGGGAGGAAAAGGTTGTTTTGGCTTGCACTTCCATGTCGCTGTTCGTCATTGAAGGAAATCAGGACAGGACCTCAAGCAGGGCAGGAGCTGATGCAGAGGCCATGGAGGGGTGCTGCTTACTGATTTGCTCGCCATGGCTTGCTCAGCCTGCTTTCTTATAGAACCCAGGGCCACCAGTCCAGGGGTGGCACCACCCCCAGTGGGTTGGGCCTTCTCCTGTCAGTCACTAACTGAGAAAATGCCACACAGCTAGATCTTATAGAGGCATTTTCTCCATTGAGGTTCCCTCCTCTCAGTTAACTCTAGCTTATGTCAAGTTGACCTGAGACTAGCCAGCGCAGGCACATTTAAATACTTTCGAGAGGAAAATTCAGTCCTTTCTCTGCAGGAAGTGTGTGGACATGACTCTAAGAGGCCAGTGGGAGTGTCAAGGTGGGCTGGCTCAGGACCATGGCCATGAAGGACATTTGGACCCACACAGGGTTCAACTCACACAAAGTGGCGGAAATCCTGGCTGTGCTGACTTCAATCCCCACCCCCTAACCCTGCAGCTTTGTACACTGTTCTCATTGGGGGAAACCTGATGGAATGCATAGGGGTTCCCCACCTGGTTTCTCATCATGTGCCAGCACTTAGTGCTGGCAGTGTGAGTGAATTAATTTTAATCAATACGTGATACTTTTGTTCATAATCTTTTATACTGAAAATCCTAAAGAGCCCCCCCCCAAATATTACAAATAAGGAAAGACTAGACACATGACTCGAAAATACTTTCTCCTAATCCCCAGCTTTTCTTTTTACTTTCTTCTCATCCACTTAAAAAGTCATTAGTTCTAGATGGGTAGTGGTGGCTCATGTCATTAATTCCAGCACTCAGGAAGCAGGGACAGGCAGATCTCTGAGTTCAAGGCCAGATTGGTCTACAGAGGGCGTTCCAGAATAGCCAGAGCTACACAGAGAAACTCTGTCTTGAAAAAAAAAATCATTAGTTCTTTGATACTCTCACACAATGTGTCCTGATTATATTCACCCCTCTGCCAACTCCTCATAGATCGACCCCCCTCCCTTCCCTACCCAAGCAACTTTGTATTTCTTCTTTATTGGATCTATCAGGTCCAGTTTCTGCTGCCCATATACTCTCGGATGTGTGGCCTTCTACTGCAGTGTGGTCCACCCACCCGGGCCTGCACTCTTAGAGAAAGCTGACGCCCTCTCCCAGCAGCTACCAATTATCACTATCCCCTTGGCTAGTGGTGGGACCCATGCTCATTTCCCTTCTGCTGGGATTCAGTCTGACTTGAGCTGGCGTGGGTCTCATGCACCCTGTCACAGATACTCAGTTCCTATGTGCAGCTGGTCTGCTGTATCCCTAAAACATTCTTTCCCTGGGGTCATCAGTCCCCCTGGCTCTTCCACTCTTTCCAGCAATGATCTCTGAGTCTAGGAAGAGACGAAGGGTGTGACACAGATGTCCCATCCAAGGCTGAGCATTCACTTTTTAATTGCAACTGTCCTGTGCTCATTTCACGGGGACACATTCAAGCTATTTCCCAAACTGAGGCAGGGAGAGGTTACATCAAAGCCTGTATACACCGAGTCCCTGTGAATATAGGTTAGTCTGCCTGAAGCTGGAATGTACCCTTTGACCAGTCCTGGAAAGTTATACCAAACAGATGTACAGAAATACGGTTTGTAAAACAAAGAAACAGATCAGTATTACATATTCCCACCAACAGAGACCTGCTGAGAAAAATCACACCACAGCTGCACGAGGAGAGAGTGTGCAAGATTTTAAAGGGATGAGGCCAGTTCGTTTGCCTGAAAACATCACCAGGATTTTCTATTCAATTACCAAAACAGGATGTGCGACACTCTCCATGTAGCAGATTTTCATGTGCTTGTGCACACACACCTTGATTCGTATGAGTGTGTAAGGTTGATGAAAAAAAAATGATGGGTCAGAACTGGTCAGGGGTACAGGTGGAGGGTTTATTTAGGTCACCACAGACAAGACAGTGTGAGGGGCTATCTATACGATTTCCATTTTAATACATTCTATGGGACAAGAATTCAGACAGAATCTGGCTGAACAGAAGGGAGGTCCTTTGGTGGATGCTGGGCTAACGTGGAAAGTCTGAGGTGACCTCACACAAGTGCCTGGCGCCTGCTCCCCAGTCCTCTGTGCTGTGTTGGGTCTCACACTTGGTCCTTTCCAGCAGGGACTGAGGCCAAGTCAGGAAGGCACTCCTGCTGCATGCCCAGAACTGAGGGCTGGGATGTGCCTCCCATCAGGAGCCAGAATCCATGTTGCTAATTTGCTCCAAGTAGTAACAGGGCACTGACTGAATACCGTGCCTGGCTCTAGGTGCCCTGTATCAGTGAAGCTTCATTATGACCCTCAGCTTGGGGTTAATAGTCACTGTACCGCACTGCTCCCCACCACCCCCCAAATGCCCAGAAGACACTAAGCAGAGAAAATAAGTGACTCACAGGTCACCATGGGCAGCTGGGCCAGGATTATGTCTGGCTCAGGGTCCCAAGTTTCACACCAGATTGTGTCTCTGTGGCTCCATCTCTGAGGGATCAGGATGGCTCTTCCTCAGCACCCCATCTCCACACAGGGACAGGTTATGGAGGCCGGCACCTGCACTTTCCCCTAACCAGACCCACACTACTCAATCACAAGCATGCTTCTCCTTTCAGCTTGAGGAGCTCCGGGAAGAGCAGCGTGAAGCGCGCCTGGCCATGAGTCCTCTGAAGGTAACATACTGCCTCATCATTGTTTTGTCTTAGAGTGCTTAGTATTTTGTAAAAATACCTGAGAGTTCTGGGGACAGGTGGCACCCAGGTGCCCACGTGAACAGCATTCCATATCTCATCATCTAGCTTGTCACGTGTTTGAGATCATCCTAGATGGCATGTGTCCTGATCCCACATGCTGTGTCCCACTTTCTCCTTGGTGCGGCCTGGAAGGTAGATGGGTTTGGAGACTGCCACTTGGGGCTCACATTCCCACCCTCGCTCCATGTCTTCCTCTTCTCATCTTTTCTTCTGCCTTTTCCTCTCTCTTTCCCTCTCTTTCTCCTCTCTCTCCATCTCTCCCTGTCTCCTCCACTTTCCCGTTACCGCATACACTCCAGTACATGTTTCCTTAGGAAGGTTCCCCGTCTATCCTTTTATGTTTATATTTGGGACACACCCAGGAGTGGCCCTTGGTTTTCCACACACTGTTTGCTAGCAGGAGAAGGTGACATTTCATCTGGGCCTGCATTTGGGAAGAGGCAGACGTTCACCCCGAGGTCCTGGTCTCTGTGTGGGTGGATGAGGAGGAGCCCTGATTGAACATCAGCCCAACACCATGACCCCTAGAAGCCCTGTTTCCTGCCTTCTCCTGTGGGCTCAGTCCCCTCAGCTGTTATGTCAGAAATTTGAACCACATCCTCTCCCATAGTTCCTTGTCTGCCTTTGTGTTGGTAAAACAGAAACTTTGAGAATTCCTGCTGAGACTCTGAGATGCCATCTCGGACACCATAGACAACGCAATGAACCCCATGAAGTCAGGACCACGAGAGTGCCCTCCCGCTAGGTTCACGCTTTGACACATCCCTCTCACCTGAAGGAAAACCCCAGAACTTTGTGCTTTACCAGTGAGAAACCAAATCAAAAGGCAGGAGGGCTCTACCGGGTGGGTCCTGGCTCCCTCACCGTGCGTTGCACAGATCGGCGGGTTGAGGTGTGGAGAGGAGCTTCGTCACGGCACCGCAGCACAGGAGAGCCCGAGTCTGTATTCTTGCCTCCCTACTGCTGTGAGCCTGGAGCCTGTTAGCACCTGGTGTGGGTGAGGGAATCAGGCCAGGAATGGGGCACTGCCCTGGCCCCCAGCTCAGCCTATACCACACGCCCCACGTTCCAGGCCAAGCTGGCTTCCCTGGTGCACAAGTGCCAGGAGAGGAACCGCCTGATTGAACAACTACTGCGGGAGCTGCCAAGACAAGAGCCCAAGAACCACCTGCTCTGCGAGCTGGCACAGAACATGCTGGATGACGTGGCACTGGCTGAGTATACCGCCACCTTCCTGACCCCAGGAGCCCCAGAGGTAAGTTGCCATGGACAACCCTGTTCCTGCTTGAAGGGACCATGAGTGGATCCAGCCCAGACCACCTGCCACCCTGTGCTGTCTTGGCTACGACCCACCAGTCACTCTCCCTGGTTCCTTCTCTAGATGGCGTCTGTATTCTGGGTGCTGTGAAAAGTGCTGGGGATCCTCTGAAGTGCTTACGACTGTGGGAACAGACATAAATGTATCACATAGGCACCATCATGCTGTGTCACTAGACATTCTTGTCACCCATACTTCATAAGCTCTGTACATATAGCCCCCTCCGCTAGGGTGCTTGGTCCACCAGGCTTCTGACCAGCCTTCAAGGCACAATTCCAAGTGCCTGTCCCCAGCAAGTGGTCTAAATTGCAATGATCACAATTTCCCTCACAGCCTTCTGCCCTCCACTGTACGTGGGCATGCATGATAAAGCGTACCTACAGGAGTCAGCCATATCTGCCCCCACACAGGAGGCCTTATTCCTGGGTTTGAGCTGGATCTGCCTCTGAAACTAGCCAGGCTACTGATGGTGTGTGGTGGATGTAGGTCAGGAGGTAAACACAGAGAGCTGTTTTCCAGGAATATGGCCTTGGGGTTGCTCCTGGCTGTACAGGGGTTGAGCTGCTCAACCCTTCACAGCCTGCAGGTGTACCTGGTCCAAATTTCCATGCAGCTGAGGTGGTGGAAACCTGAGGCCATGGGGCTGCCAAAGGTGTAGAGACGGTGCAGGGCCAGAGCTCAAATCTAGAACACCAGATGCCATGTCTAGTGCTCCTCTGTTTCTGTGGCTATAGAAGGCAGAGAGAGAGAGAGAGAGAGAGAGAGAGAGAGAGAGAGAGAGAGAGAGAGAGAGAGAGAGAGAGAAGACTCTAATTGAAGTGATTAAGACAGTCTCTGGGACACAACTGGTGCCTAATAATTGTGGTGAGTGAAGCAGGATGAAGCAAGGAGGTATTGATTACAGCATGAACACTGGGGTGGGATAGGCTGATTTCCAATAACCAAACTCGAAGAGGCTGATGTCTAAATCAGAGCATAATTGCCTAAGAAAAACAGAACTAGTGTGTGGCCTGGCGTACTCTAGTGGATGAACGTACCAAAAAAGTCGGCACGTTTTCCCCTTCAGTTATTAGAGAGGCAAATTCATTAATATGTTCATATGTTGGTCAGTTACCATCTGTTGTCAGAAGGTCATGTGGGAGCTGAAGAAAAATGGGGGTGTGGGGTGGGATGGGGGATGGGGAGTGGGATAGGGATGGGGAGTGGGGAGTAGAATGGGGATGTGGGGTGGTATGGGGAGTGGGATGGGGGTGTGGGATGGGATGGGGGATGGGAAATGGGGTGTGGATGGAGAGTGGGGAGTGGGATGGGGGTTTGGGATGGGGCATGGGATGGGGATTGGGTGTTAATGTGTTCCAAGCTGGATGCTTCCATCTATGAGGAGATTCCCTGGGCCTGAGATGCCTCTTCTTGGCCTGGGGTGTAGAGCTTGGGGAGGCCACAGAGCAGGCATAACTGTCCCCGATGGTCAGCCTCTCTGTCCTCTGCATTGTCTATTCAGTGTCACAGCTCTATCTCTGCTCCTGACTCAGCTCGGTACTACCCCCAGCTTTGAAGGTGTCCTGGTTTGGTTTCTGTCGCTGTGATAAATGCTGTGACCAAAAGCACTTTGGGGAAGACAAGGGCTTATTTGGCTTACAGATCACAGTCCGTCATCAGGGAAACCAAGGCAGGAACTCAGGGTAGGAACCTGGAAGCAGGAACTGAAGTAGAGACCATGGGGGTGGGGTGCTGATTACTGGGTTGCTCTCTAGCTCATGCTCAGCTTGCTTTCTTACACAGCTCAGGACTTGCTAGGGGATGACGCTGCCCACAGTGGGCTGGACCCTCCCACATCCACAGTCAAGATAGCAAGACAGTTCCTCACAGACATGGCCATAGCCCAGACTAATGGGGGCAACTCCTCAACTGAGATTCCGTCTTTGTAGGTGTGTATAGGTTTATGTCGAGTGGGTAAAAACCCACCAGCATAGAAGGTAGCTCTGAATGTAACCTGACTGGACTTTTGGAATCCATCCCTGTGCTGTGTTCTGAAACTGCATCAGCCTGCTGTGCCATTCCTGGTCAGGAATGTTGACAGAGTTCTTGCCACCCTGGGGCATAGATCTGAGGTCCTGGAGGAGAACCAAGTAAGCCAAAACAGAGCAAGCTAACCAAAGGGTCCGGAAAACAATTGGACTCACCAGGGCTCTGACCAAGGCTGGTGTACACACGAGTGGATCTGAGTCCTCTGACGTTAGTTCACTGATCTGTACAATGGGAAGAGCACAGTCTGCTCAGTACAGCTGCTGAGAAGCCAGAACAAGATAACCTGTATGCAAGAAGCTGAGATCGGAGGTCCAGGGTCACATCTCTACGCCACCACCCTCTGTCCCTTTGACCTATGACTATGTGTAGGTGATGTTCTAAGTGCTTGCTGCAAACTAGTGGAGTGTCCATTATCCCACAAAAATGGCACAGTTCTCCCACATTCAGAACACAAAAATGAAGCTCAGAGAGGGTCTTCATCTGCCCAAAGACCTGCGTCCCTGTGGAGCTTTCTAATTCAGCCCTTTCCTTGCCTATGTGGTAGAGGGGGGACTTGAAGCTGATGTGGGAACCTGCACACAGCTCCAGCAATGGTCACTACAGAGATGGGTAGGTGGGGAGAAGTTGCTGGTCACAGCTTGGGTCTGGCACCCACCGAGGCAGTCCCTCTTGTCACAGGAAGGCCAGTCTTCAATGTGTGGGTCTCTTTTAGCCTAAGGAGTAAAAACTACTGTAATGTGTTATGAAGACTAAGGGTGCCTTCCCTGGCTCCCGGCAGATCCTGAGACAGGCACACAGGAGGTGTGGCTGACTGGAGTCCGTGGTGTTTACACTGGCTTCATTAGCTTCTAGGAATGGGAGAGTGGCGTGTTGGTGCAGGATCCCAGCAACTCCAGAGAGACAATTCCCTTGAAGAGTCCCCTAGACAAGTCCCCTAGGCTGAGGTCTGAGGAGCTGGCTATGCACTGTGTAGCCTTCTGTTCCTCCAGCAGTATGTTCTGAGCCATGACGACCCTGGTGGCCAAGAAGTGGCTAGAGAGGGACGCTGAGCTTTTCCTTGGTGGTGGTGGCAGCTCTTCCCACTGGCAGCTGGACTGGAAGCTTGGTTTTATGGACATTAGCTGTTGCATCAGGGAACACAGATGGGAGTCCTGATGGAGGCCTTTGGGCTTCGGCTGACAGCCAAGAGGGCTGCCTGGTGGCTGAGGAGCTGCTGATGGGCTTGGGCTAGGCTGTGCACAGCATCAGGCTGGCAAGTAGGGAGATGGTTTGTCTCTGACAGAAGCCTTCTGGAAACATCCCTGGAGAATCCAAACCCTGAGGCGCCCACCAGCCCTTCCTTGGAGACAGAGAATATGGGAATGGGACAAAGGGTCCCACCCAGGCAGGCCGTCTGTGTTTTATATCTGGGCATGTACCTGTCCTGCCCTCCAGGCTGCCACTCCACATATGAATTCACTCAGTCTTCCCACACCCCCCTTCCTGAAGGAGGGCCCTAATAACCCTGAGCTGTCAAGGCCTGGAGCAAGGGATGGGGACTGACCCCCTCCATTCCCAGAAGAGGGATGTGGCCTGGCACCCACTTTCCATCATTGCAATGGTGGAGACGCTTCTGTTGTCTTTTCTGGCTTGGGTTTGGGAGAGGGGTGGAGCCCATCTCAGTCAGTCCTTCTCTTTGGTGCACGATTTTGACGGCCAGCCCAGTGCACCTGCACTGTTGGTGCTCTGTCATCCCCTCACCTCTCTGGTGTGCAGCCCCCCAGAACAACAGATACTGTACATGTGCTCTCTCCCAGTGGGACCCCTTCCTCTGGCTCAGGTGTCCGGGGTGGTGATAGTGGGTGTCAGGTCAGCCAGCTTTCTCCATGACTCTGGCTGGGAGTTCAAGGTCTTGACATTTTCCTGGCTTTTAGATGGGGATGGGAAAAAGGGAAAGACAGACTCCCCACTTCCAAATCCACCTCATCCTTCTGACTCATGTCGAGTGGTCCTGGATCAGGGAGATTGACAATTTCTCTGTATCCTTTTCCATCCTCCTCTAGCCTGGCTTACATCTCCTGGACTTAAGTTGTCGGCATTCACAAGTAAAACTAAGTCACTTCTTCTTCTTCTTCTTCTTGCATGTGGCTGTGTTGTCCCCATGATCTTGGAAGCTTGGATATCAAAGAGGCTGGGGGCTTATCCCTGAGGTGACCTGCCTGCTGTGCCACATACTCCTGATAGCCTGGCCCAGACTCTGCTCAGCAGAGGGAAGGGTGGTCCCAGCGCAGGGCTCCCGAGCCTCCTGCTGCTCCTGGAATGTGCTGCTTTCTGACTCCTATGTAGACACAGTCACCTGTACATGAAGAACAAGAATGTTGGACCCTCACTTCTCTAAGCTACCTGTGTTTTAAGTCAGTAGGGTTCTCTGTCCCCCATGAGGCTCTTTGAGGATCAAACAACGTCTCACAGAGCCTAGTATGACACCTATTACAGACTATGCCATAGTTACTTTCTGTTGCTATGACAGACTATCCCAACAAAAGCAACCAAAGGAGAGGGTTCTTTCTGATTCACAGTTTCATGGGGATAGAGTCTATCATGAAGCGATGCTATGGAGGCGGCTGCAGCTGGAAGCTGGCTTTTCAGCATTTTTGTCCACACACAGGAAGGAGACGGAGTTGCTTAAATTTCCAATAGGTCTTATAACAAAATCCCGGAGCCAGATATTGGGGTAAATGCTGAAAGATCAGAGAGACAAATGAACAAGCCACTGCCAAGTCTCACCTCGCCAACTCCACGAATCCTCTCACTTAATGTCTCTGTGTCCTCAGCTGAAAGAGAGAGGTCCCGCTGAACGGAGCTTCAGCTGAAAAAGCAAACTTAGCCAAAAGGCTTTAGTTCCTTCCTGTCTCCTCACGCCTTATAAACCTTTCTCTGCCCGGCCATCACTTCCTTCCTAGTGCTGGGACTAAAGGCGTGTGACTCCCAAGTACTGGGATTAAAGGTGTGTGCCACCACTGCCTGGCTCTGTTTCTCTCCTAGACTGAGTCAATCTCATGTAGTCCAAGGTGGCCTTGAACTCACAGAGATCCAGATGGATCTCTGCCTCCCAAGTGCTAGGATTAAAGGTGTGTGCCACCACTGCCTGGCCTCTATGTTTACTTTAGTGGCTTGTTCTGTTCTCTGATCTTCAGGCAAATTTTATTAGGTACACAATGTATCACCACAAGAGGGAGAAAGAACAGGAAGAGGGGTGAGGCTGTAAAGCCCCAAAGCCTGTCCCAAGTGACATACACCCTCCAGCAAGGCTCCATAACCTTCCCAAACAGCCCCACCAACTAGGGATCAAGTGCTTACATACATGAACCCATGGGAGACAGCTCTCACTCAGACCACGATAGGCACCCAGTAGGGGCTAGGACACCATCCGGCAACACTGAGGTTTCAACTCCTTGGGAAAGCCAGGCCTTGGCAGTGCTCGCCGCAAAGACACAGGGGCACGCACAGGCAGCTGTCTTGGAAAGCAGAAGAGAGGAGAAGGCTAGCTGAGAGCAAGCAAGCGTGCACTTGTTCTCTTGGTTCACGACTGCGGATGCCGTGTTCCTAGCTTCTGGAGTTCCTGCCTTGACTTCCCTGAACGGATGGACTGCCATTTGGGATTGGAAGCTGAAATGGACCTTTCTTCCCCTGTTGCTTTTTCTCAAGGTATTTGTCACAGCATCTGCAGTGAAATAGAACAGGGACATCTACCCATGCCTAAGCACAGCAGCAGAGCAGTTGTCATCATGCCTGGAGCACAGGACTCCTGAAAGGTGGGGAGGAATGGGTTAGGACCAGAGCACAGCTAAGTCAAGTCCAGGCCTTGGTTACTAGTTACTGCTGCAATCTGCCCATTTTGGAATCTGTCACAGAGCCCGGCTGTCACATAGATCCTGGTCAGGGCAAGTAGCAAGGCAGGTGGCTGAACTATGTCAAGAGGGAAGGTGATACAGGGGCTAGGACATTTGAATTAGGTCTTGAGGTTCACACAGAGGTTTGCCAATCAAGGAAAGAGGGCAGTGCTTCCAGGCATGATGATGGGCTGTGCCGGTACCTGGAGCATCATGACGAAGATGGGGGAGAAGGGATTTCACAGGGTCACCGCACACAGGGCCCTGCCCCACAGAATTCAGGCTCCAGGCTCCAACCTGCCTTGAAGATCTAGCAGATGGCTTCTTCTTAGCCGACAGGGGCTGCTGGGTGGAATGTGAATTCCTGAGGCTGCCCTGCTGCCTACAGATGTAAATGGTCATTGCAGTAGTGCAGGGGGTGGCCTCGGGCTCAAGTCTCCTCATTATCTGGGATGAATCAGTGGCCCCTGGCAGTACCCGATGCCCCAACTCTTTAAGTTTTCTCTTAATGCATTTTTGAAAAGACGCTTGTCTCTGCATGGTTGAATCTGAGTGAAGGAGACTGAATTGTCCCTGGCATGTTGTGTGGTACCCTTGAACAGACCTGACCTGGTCACCTGTAAGGTGGCCAAGGAGGGAATGTGGGCAGCACATCACCACACCTACCTCCCAGTGCAGCCTGAGCTCAGCTGCCCAGGGTGGCTCGCCTCACTCTGGTCCTCTGGGGACCTTCACATCCTGCTCTACACAGTCTACCCACTGAGCTCTCTTTTCTTCCAGACAGTGTGCCACCTGGATGTCGGCTCCAAGGGGATGACAGCTGGAGGAGGAGGTCAGTGCACCTGCCAGAAACATTTCTGTGTGTTCAGCAAAGGTCAGGGTGGGGTGAGCTAGGTGCAAACTGCTCAGTGTTGAGTCCATACCGTGAAGGGGACTTCCTATTTCCCCCTTTCCTTCTGCTGCTCAGCCCCACCTCAGAGTGTTAGGACACTCCAGAAGGAAAGAAGGGCCTCAAATTCCTCAGCTCTGTTCTTCATTATGAACCATTACATCCATGGACATCCATTCCCCAACCCTGGACATTCATCACATATAAGTAATTCCCATAAATCATTAGGAACAAGCTCAGGGGACAGGTGTGCTCACCCTATGCCCTCAGTGTTGTGAATTAACCCATGTCCTCTGTGGAATGTAGCACAGCCACTAAGGTGGCTGAGAATGTCATGTCGTAGGGCAATGTGATGATGTTGCAGTTAATTCAAAGATGGTAGGACATGGAATGTGTGATACTGCCGGCTGTATCACGCACACACATCCACGTGTGGTCAGCAATGCACCCTAAGAGATGGACTAAAGATTAACTGTGGCTGCTCAGAGAGGGGAACATGTTGTTCTGTTGTCTTTATTGTAATAGAGAAATGAAGGTGCTGGGGACCAGACAGACTCTCCTCTCCTCGGGCCTTACGTGCCACTTCCAGCAGTGTGGGGCTGGTTTACAGGCGTGGGCCCGAGCAGGGTTTCTGAGGGCTTGTTGAGGTTGCACTCACAGCAGGACTTAGCACTCTCCATGTCTGTTTTCTCCATGGCTCATCTACTAGATTCTGTTCTTGCCAGCCCTGTAGCTGGGGATGAGTTAATCAGCCTCTCTGAACCGCAGACCATTTTTGAAAGGAGGATAACATGACGACCCTGTATCTTGCCTGGTACATAACAGGATGTCAATGCATGAGAAGAAAGGCTCTTCTCATCAGCTTGGAGCTGCCCTGTGTACCTTCACGACTGCCCCTCTAGCCTGAGCTGGCATCTGTTTCCATAGCCGGAGAGCTGTGCATTCTAATGCCCCCACTCTGCCACTGACTTCTAGCAGTCTGCCTTCTCTGAGCTCAGCCTTCTCACCCATTGAAGAAGGAAATGCTTGTGATTAATGGGGCTGTTTGTACTAGGTTTCTGGAGGCTGCCTGGCGCCCCCTGCAGGAGGTGAATACAAGGTGTGGGAGCTACCAGAGGGACCATGGGGAGTGAGGGAGGTGGAGAGGTGGAGAGGGAGTGGGGGCGGGTAGCCCTACCCTGGAGGGGCTGGCAGCTAGCAGGGCATTAGGGAGACAAGCAACGATCTGAGTTGTCCCAAGACCATGATGATACCATTACTAAGTGTGGGGCTCAGAGAATTCAAAGGCACCAAGAGAGCCTCTGTTATAGGGATGGCCATCTGGGAGCATCTGTGGATAGCAAGAGAGTGGAAACATTACGATAAAGTTTAGGACCTGTCAGTTTTAAAGATGGATGCCTAGCCTGGGACCTGACTGAGGATGCTCTCTTCCAGCTCAGGAGTACCTGCTTAATTCTGAAACAGACAGTATCCTTCAAAGCCTGTGGGGTATGGAGTCCTGGTTCCTTCCAGAGGCTGAGTGGGCGTCACAGACTGCTCCACTCAGTTCCCCAAAGGTAAGCACACAGCTTTACCTCACTTATGAAATGTGGTTTTAATTGAAAGTGGAATATGTTCACAGATGTGCATGCTCGTGTACACACACACACACACACACACACACACACACACACACACGCACACAGATACACAGAGACAGAGACAGACAGACAGACATGGGTGCATACACATACACAGAGAAAGACAGACAGACATGAGCCCATACACACATGCACACAGGCATGCATGCATGACGGCCCCAATAAAGCCCACCAGTTTAAGAGCTAAAATGTAACCCATTATCTGCTTTTCAGTCTTTGTTTCTGGTGGCATCTCAGCCGTATCTTGTCATGTGTCTTGAGTGGTGGCCCTCGTGTGTGGAGACCCAGGCCCTCTGGTGATCTCCGCCTCTTCTTCCCTTGCTCTGATGGGCTGGCCTGGCCAGTGCCTTCCTCACCCAGAGCTGATTCAAAGATGATGCCGCCAGAGCAGCTCCGCCTGTCATCTGGCTCACACTCACTTCCGGGCACAAAACCTACAGGGTCCTCCAAGTCCTCTCCCATGATTCCTGGTGTCCCCTAGGCTATGAGAGCCCTGTCCAGCATCTTCCCTTCAGGGCTGCCTGGACCTCCCATAGACTGCCACTGCAGGGAAGCCACTGACACCCACTGGACTTCATGGGACCGTAGCCCTGCTGTCAGTCAGTGTCAGCCCCATAAAGCTTCCCAGCCTTGGTCCATTGCAGATCCCAGCTGACGTTTTTGTTTTGTTTTTGCTTTTACCTTTTGTCTAGATTTTCTAGTTGTTTCTACTTTGAAGCATCTGAATCAGTTTTCACTAGAAACACACCACTGGCTCCAGACAAACCATTCAACTGATTAAATTTGGGGCCTGGCAGGCCTGAGTTCAAAGCTCAGCCCTGTCCTTGTCAAACCAGTGTGGCGGAGGGACAAAGCCCTTCATCCGTTTGTGTGTCAGTGTCCTTCTGTATAAAATGGGCGTGGCGCTGCCCGATGCTGTCATGAGGATGAAAGCCAGCATGGCGGCACCCTGTGTTTGCAGGGAACCCGTAGGTCTCACAGAACAACAGAAGAGCAAACAGCTCTCCCCCACGGCGTCTCAGCATACAATTTATTCTCTTCCGTCTTCGATTCTTGTGATGCCCCGCCTTCCTCACCACTTATATTACATTTTTATCTTAAGCATGAAGACAGGACATTTGCATGACAGGGTTGTGGGACAATTTGATGACCCCACATCTATGAAGTATTTGTTAGTTTCCAGGCCAGGAGAGGTGCTCACAAGTGTGCTCACTGTGCTCAGCGGCCTTCATCAACTTTCTGCCTGGTGGCTTCACTGCCCTGTGTAGGTTCCATGCCTAGAAATAAGAATGTCTTCCCATCTCCTGAGAAAACCACTTCTGATTTGTCTTGCTCTGACCTGTCACATGTGACCTCCCCAACCTGGAGGCATCACAAGCAATAGTAGTCTTTGTTGTGTGTCTATGGAGCAGGTGTCTACAATTGCAAGCTGTGTAGGTATTCAGAGAAGTGGTCATGGCTGGGCACAGGGAGAGAAGCAGAGTAGAGACTGTGAAGTGAGGAGTCCTACATGGAGTATTCATCCTCACAGGGACCCCATAGCAACATCATACCCGCTCTGCCTATGAGGAAAGGCAGGAGGTTAAAAATGACTCAGGCTCACCCAGGAGACTCAGGCTGAAGGCACTGACAATGTGGCTCTGTGGCTGCTCCCCATCCCGTCGCTGGGGGATGGAGGGATGGCTCCAGTCTGCTGGTGAGGCTGGAAGGCAGATGCATGACCACATCTGGAGGATGCTGGAGAGGCAAAAGAGCTTCTTGCTGCTGTGCTCCTGTAGCTGGTCCTTCCTGTGGGTTCTGGAAGGGAACATGTTTTCAGAGGTGAGATGCTGATGTGGATTGTCTTATGCCCAGGAGTGGCTGATGGAGGGCTTGTAGACAGGGTAGAGGATGAAATCACACGGCCCTGAGTGATGTGGAGTTAGCAGCTTCACAGCCACATATAGTTACAGAAGATGTCTGGGGTCATCAAAATTGCTTGGCTTGTCCCATTGTGCAGAGCCCTGAGGCAAGCCTATGGTGAGGATACAGTGCAGGGAATAGGGTGCGCATTTGGAGGGCCATGAGGACACTGGCATGAGGCTACCATGCAGGAGACACAGGGCCTTTCCGTGTGAAGGGCACGTTCTCCTGCCACTGAGAACAAAAGCCTTTGCTTCCACTTGGCCACCAGCCCAATGCCTGCATGTCATCACTTGCTCAGTGGCCAGGTGTGACAACCCAACTAGACCCCATCTCCATTTCCTTGACTGTGACTTGGAACTGCCATAGGAGGAAGTGAGCATGCGGTAAGAGGTTTGATGCCAGCACAGTAAGTGCTTGATAAGCATTAGTTGTCGTTGTTATATCTTCCTCGAATAAGAGGTGTGATCTGCAGTCCCGTAATCAGGGGACACAGAGACGTACTTTTGTTTTCTCTTCTCCAGCTGTCCCCATCTTCGGGCTCAGCCTGGATTCTGGGCAGAGCCCAGTAATGGGGAACAGAGCTTTCCCCACCGCGTCTAAGGGTCAGAGGCAAAACATCCCCACCCCCTCCACTCCTAGCCGGGTTTCTTGCCACTCTGCAACTCCTGGAGGAGGCTGGCTTTCCACCAAGCACTCAGGCAGTGTCTGCAGCAATCTCCAAGCCAATAAATCACTGCAACGGGCGTGAAGTTGACAGGGCCACTCTCTCTCTGGGGCCACTTCACAGCCTCCATAAATATTTGAAGCAGAGCCCTGCGAGAGCACTTTAGGAAATCGGTCTCGCTCTCAGCCCTCGGTGAGTGGGGAGTGCTTTTGTCTTTGGCTTGGAGGCTTGCAGTTGTGGGTGAAGCTGGAAGGATTCGAATGCACCTTGCAGACTCAGTTCAGCTTTGGTAGATATAAAGGCAGTGACCGAAAGGGTTTGCTGTGCGCAGACCTGGGAAGGACCAGACCACTGTGTCTTAGCCAGCTGCACAGTCACCCTTCAGAATGAAGCACAGCAGGCCACCCTGGGGTCCTTGGACCTCATGTCCCAGGCCCCTTGTTCCGAGCTCTTCCATCATGTATCTTTTCTCATCCTGAAGGGAACGTCAGAACTCCCTACCCTACTCTGTTCCCTCCTGGAAGGGAGGACAAAGACAAAGATAAGAAACTGAGGCACCTCAAGATGTAGGTGGAGCCCGTGGGTTTAGTCTGGGTGAGCTTTGGATTTCGGTCTGAGAGAGAATGAACCGAGAATTCCCATCTGCTCTTTCCTTGACTTCCCCAATATTAGTATCTCATGAAACTACCACGGCACAGATCTAGGAGCTGGTGGGTTTGATTTCCGGGAGAAATGGAAGCCACTGAAATGCAAGCAAGGCTTACAGAGCTGGGGCCACTTGGCTTAGCTTGGGGCTTGGGAGACGGAACCAGGTCCAGGTTATGTCCTGGAGAGGCTGCCAGTGAGCCCACATCTCATTCAGTCTTCTGGCTGTCATGGTAGCTAGGTAACCATTGTCTGCTAGCGTAGTGCTGTGAACACATATGAAAAGTGTTCTTCCTCTTGCCTTGGGGACCACTGGGCACCCCACTGGAGCCTCCCTCCAGATAGGAGGGCACTGTTGTGTGAAGCATTTTACACTTGTTTTGCTTAAAGTTAGCTGTTAAGCTGGGTGTGGTGGTGGACACCTTTAATCCTAGCACTAGGGAAGCAGAGATAGGCAGATCTATGAGTTCAAGGCCAGCCTGGTGTACATAGCAAGTCCCAGGCCAGCTCAGCCTGGCAAGACCTCATCTCCAAAATAACTAACTAACTAACAAATAAATAAATAAATAAATAAATAAATAAATAAATAAATAAATAAATAAGTTACCAGTTAATGTGAGGTCCCATTTGGCATGCCAGCCATTGTTTTTGATGATGAAGTACCCTGCAGAGCTGGGTGAGGATGCTGGCTTGGTGACCCCTCTTCTGCTCCTCCTGTCCCTTTGTCATGGGAATGCATCCTTAACGTCATGATTTGGAGCATCAAGAATGTGATGGAGGAAGGATGTGCACCTGAGGTACAGGCAAGGGTTCAGCTCGTCCTGTGGGGGTGGTGCCACCTGTCTCCAGCACGAGGCATTATCTGTCACCTCAACTCCTTCTAGCCTGTGCCCATGTTCTGGGCCTTGGTAAGAGGCCATCCAGATGGGTCACTCCAGAGTGATCCCTGCTGCTCGCCATGGTCACCATTGCCCACTAAATCCAAAATACTTGTAAACCAGAAAGTGCCATCAGCACCCCTGGGGTACACTGAGGTCTCCAATTGGGGCTGCTTTGTGCTCTGACTTCTGAGCGCTGTTGCAATGGATACTGGCAGACTCTGGCCTTGTCCCAGGCCTGCAGAGCTTTGAGAGGCATGAGGCGGCCCTGTCACACTCTCAGTCAGCTATATGTTATCAGAGGTCGGGGCAGGACTTGCATCAAGGATGTTGAGGGCCAGGCAGGAGCCTGGTCTGCAGGAGCTGGAGGCAGCCACCCCTCTGCCTAGGCCTCTGGAGAGGCCGGCAATCAGACTAGCTCTGCCACTGCAGCAGACAATAATTTATCAGTCAGTTGTCAGCAAGCCACGTGGAGGACTTCCCTGGGAGCCTAGCCAAAGCTAGTGAGGCAAGAGTGCCCCTCCCCCTGGTTGTGAGGCAAGTCCATGGGGAGGCCTGGCCTTGCTTGTATAGTCAAAGAATGGCTGTGTTGAGTGCGGTTTCTCTCTCTGGGGCCTCATTCATCTTCCTGTGAATCTGGGGGGTCAGGAGGGACTGGAGCTAGGTCTTCTTCGTCTCCCGCCGGCTCCTGCCCCTGGGCTTCCAGACAGACAATGTGTAGACTGGGGCCCAGTGGCATAAGCAGGTGGGACACAGGGGTGGAACTATGGGGTAGGTAGCTGCCTGTGAGAATACCAGGTAGCCTCCTGGTGGAAGTGTGCACT